TATTGCCTTCAATAATGGCCAACAGGCCAAGGTGGTGGGATTTTTGGTGGCCTGTTAGGGATTTTTGGGTAAACAATTATTGGTAAGTCTATTCATTAGCTTTGTAAAGTTTGTATGGAGCAAGGTAATGACCTAAATATTGACCAATTAACTGGCTTCAATATACAAAAACACTTCAGGAATGCAGATCTTCTAAACATTGAAGAGTCGTATAACAGATAGGTAGCTGATAGCACAGTGCACAGCACTATCAATAGATCTACTAGTTTTATGTCCTATAAATCTACCAGACTCTACTTGCACGCTTGATGCCTCTGTACCAAAAACATTCAATTTATTTGAACCTAATACACACTAAAGGCAACAAGTTTATATACCAATTTGTCATTCATAGTACATTTATGCTAAACCATGAATAACAATACCTCAATATAAATTAAAGACTGCCACTCAATATATTTAAATATATGAAAAAATCAAATAAATTGAAAAAATAAAAAAATCATGATTTTTTTATAAAAAAATCAAGTGATTTAATCACATGATTTAATCATTTTGATCTAATCATTGCCAACCCTGTGGTTAATATCAATTATCATTGTAATATGTTAGTAGGAAGTGAAACCTGAAGCTACTAACAAGTAACTACTGTGTACTACTAAGGCCTAAGCTGATTGCACTTTGCAGAGCATTGACTCTGGATTCATACATGAGTTATGCAGTAGGGTAAATTCTTGCCCAAATTCCAGAGCAACCAAAAGGCAAAATCCAAAATGTACCTACCTGAGTCCTGAGCTACCTCCTCAACAAAAGAGTCTAAGTCAATGCTAATGGCAGTAATAGAAGATTAGGAAATGGTGCATCTGTGCTAACATCTACCTTTAGCCTTTAGGGCTGCGACTAGAGGTTTTCTGCCATTTCTGGAACTGCGAGATTTCTGCCAGATGAATTAGCTACCTCCTCTCCTATGTCGTGCCCTATCCAATCGTTAACCAAAGTGCATGATCTGATTATGATGATCAGATCATCAGGTCACAAGATTCAGATTCCAAATGTATTAAAAATTTGTCACGTTGGAGCCACAAGATTTCAGAAACAAGTAGGCTAGGAAAATTCTAATCCTGGACCTGAAATAGTGCAATCAGGAATTTTTGACTAGGGTAAACGAGGTATATTCCAACACATTAAGGACGTAGCAAGTTAAGAAACATAGTGGCAAACCAGAGATTTTTTAGAATCAGTTCATTTTCAATGTCCTCATTTACTTGACATTTGAACCAAATTCTTATGTATGATAATTCTGGTATCCATGATCCTACTTTACTGGTCTAGTACTTATTGTACTCAAAATTGAACTTGGGAGAGAGTCTAAAAAACTCTGTGCTTTGCCACTATGGGCCAAGAAATGAATGGCTATAAAAATGTCAGTAATACTTTAGATTAAGTGCATCTAAAAAAGGGCGTTTTTTTAATTATATGTTTTTTGGGGTGTAGATAAAGAATCTGAAATCCGTTTTTGGCGGTCAACATCGGAAAACCGATTTTTTCCCCTAGGCTCTAATTCGTCTAAAAAAAATCTGGCAAAAATAGGCAAAATCGGCAAAAAACCTAACCTAACCGTGGTTGCAATGTCGTGGTTGCCGTGCAATGTCATGGTATATATGCAAGAGTATATGGGTCACCAAGGCTAAGTTAAAAACGCTATGAATCCACGGATATTGAGGCCAAGATTTAACTTGTATTTTATCTTAGAAAATATATAAAAAGCAGCATATATAAAAATCGGTTTTTCGATACTGACCGCCAAATACAGATTTCAGATTCTTTATCTACACCCCCAAAAAACAAATAATCAAACAAGAAAAACACCCTTATTTTGGATGCACTTAATTGAAAGAAATACCAAAATGTGACCGTATGCACAACTCAAGTTCTGATATCTTTATGTCACTCTCAAAACACCACACTACACTCCAGCAACAATGAAACGTCACAAACTGTTGCCACATTTATTTAAAAGCCTTTAGAATTCAAACCTACAAACTCCCTGAATTCCAACGCTGTGTGTGACTAAATTTGGCATAGGGTAAACGTGGTATATTCCAACACATTAAGGACATAGCAAAAAATGAATGGCTATAAAAAATCACTGTATGCGCAACTCGAGTTCTGTTTGCTTTACGTCACTCTCAAAACACGGCACTACGCGCCAGCAACAATGAAACGTCACAAAATGTTGCCATGTTTATTTGAAAGCCTTTAGAATGCAAACCTGCCAAATCCATATATTCCGACGCTGTGTGTGACTAAATTTGGCATTTTGTGAGACTAATTCCGGCCGTGCTTCATACTCAACTAATTCGTAATTCCGACCCTCATGTGTTCAAATTCCGATCGCTGTGTGAGCTGTATTGGAATATGACACAGCTCGGAATTAGAACACCATTGAATATTGAACACAACTTAATTAGGCTTTTAATTAAGAGCTATTAAGCTTTTAATTAAGAAAATTTTAATTTTTGCACACAGCTCGGAACGAGCTTTGTGTGCCCAATTCCAAGCTGTGTTGGAATTAGTTTTTATGTGTCTAAAACTGTCTCTTAACTTAATCATCTATTAATTTATTTACCACTTGAAATCAGCAAATACAAGTATACTTGAAGGATTCGTAATATATTCACAGACTTATTTCAAACCATAATATTCTTTATACACAAACAGTTTATCACTATTTGGTAGAGCAAGGTCAACTATCAACTTTGACACGTTTTTCGATGTTCTCACTGGGTGATGCACACTGTCTCTCTTTGGATCTCAACATTTTCCTGCCAGACGTCCCAGTTCTAGTGTTTTGGCAATAGTATGGCGCGCAATAGTATGACGTCACTATTTCAACCATCAACGAATGCGTGGAACTAAGACAAAGCTTAATATTAAGGAAAAAAGTTGAGAAGTGTCGGAATTACCAATGATGTCAGAATATACCTCGTTTACCCTAGGTTAATCATGCAAAAATTTTACCAAAATAAAATAATTCTTTCTTCAGTAATTTTTTTAGTTTCTAGGTGATAGTTTTAATGATTATGATTACAGATTTATTATAAAGCTTGAACTTGTGCATACCAAGATAAAATTTCAAAACATAGGTACTTCAAAAATTTTTGTCTAACCTACCCAAACTGGAAAATTGAGAAGTCTCCCAAAAATCATACAAAAATACCATCAAATGGGGTAATAAGGGACAGTTTTGAGCATTTTTTGTTAATAACTTTTTACCATGAAACATTTCATAAACAATTTTAGGCTCATTTTATAGCTCTTTGCGAATTGCAAGGGCTATTGAATGGGATCTTGAAAAAAATCCCATATGATATTCGTAAGGTGCCAGACTCAAAATATAACGTCCTGAATTACCCCTGGGAACAGGGTAATCTGAGACACTTGAAATAAAACTCAAATTTAAAATGTTTGAAGCATGCAGAGTGTACTCATCCATTACTAGCAGTAGCTACTCTGAAGTCCTCCTCTTTCATTGTAGATGATGTAGATATAGAATGAATGTCATTTTCTGTGTTTTTTACTTGTTTATCCTTTATTGATATGATATCACCATATTCATTCATTACCATATTACTGATGTGATATTACCCTATCCATTAACATGCCATTGAGCATTTACAATGACCTTGTCCACTGCAAGCTTCATATCAGCAGCCGTATAGCATTTCTTCTCTATCTGTAAGCTTACAGGATGGCTTGTAATTTCACACCATTTTAATTGAGTTGAGTGAATTCACTATAAAAAAGATTGTAAAAAACATACCTGAAACAGAAAGGAATGTTTTAGAAACAACCATCATATGTTTTGGAGAAATAATACATAGTTTAGGTCAATTACTTTTCATTCTATGATGCCCAGTGCACAATACTATATACGACATTCTGTGCACAATTTTGTAATGACCAATGATGCATAAATTTTAAGATCACTTAGCTGCTTAAGTCACAAATTTACCAGGAATTTAAAAGTAAAGAAAATAGCCAAAAGTTCACCATTTCTTATAAGAGAAAACGTTTTGGAGTCCAGCTCCATTGTCAGTTCAAAACCTAGAACACAGGTACAAACAATTAGCAGCCTAAAATTCACATTCAAACAATTCACCTAAACTTGAAGACATTAGAACTAAAATCAAAGATAACAGAAATAAAAATGAGATAACATGTAGAGAAGGTACTACTATCTATTTACAATTTGTAGAGGATAGGAACTGAATGCAGCATTTAAACTGGGTTTCTGTTTGAAAATATATATTGATTTTAAAATTCGTAGGTCAGGAACACTGGTTGTGGAGGCTAAAACTCTAAAATCACTATTGGACACTGGGACGTTGCACTACTTGGCATGAATACATACGGCTGAATGAGGGGGATGCGCAAGTATGTTCCCTGTTCTGTAACTCCTGCCTCTATGCTCTGCAAGCCTAGTATAAAAATTGTGCGATGTCATACGGACATACGCAGATGCGCACTGCGCACAACTATATTGATAAACTAGGGATGATCGCATAAGAACAGGGAGAGGATCTTTGTACTTGAAAAACGAGCTAATTTTAAAATTGTTCACTAGCTATATGTTAAGATTTATATTTGGGAGGTATTTAGAGAATAGATCTTTCAACTCCTTTGCCATCGTCTCAGATGCGGGGCCAAAGTAAGGAAAAGAACAATAAACACGATTCCTATCGTCAGGTTCAGGAACCACCTCAGCATATTGTTTAGACAAGAATTTCTTAATTTGAGTATACACCAATTGTGAAGGAAACCCATTCATTTTTATAATGACCACATTATTATTCGAATGAGCTCCTGTTAAGCATTTGAGCTGATTATTTTATCACATTGAATTATTAAGTACAGTTTTTTTGTGCTGTTCATTCTTTGTATGTATTTATTTGTGCTACTAAATTAACTAAACCTGTTCCTGATTCATACCAGATTAGGGTATATTGAATCTATTATGATTGATTGACAAGTTGTGAAGACATGGCTGGCATGCAGAGCAATTGCTCTGGTGTAGAGAGCTCTACACAAATGAACACATTTCGCTCTTACGTGTCAATGCTAACTGATCCAAACTGCAAGGATGAAAACAAACTTAAAGCTGCACAAGCACTCAGTGAGGATTTGGAGGTAAGATGTTAGCTTTTGAGTTTATCATTTCCATAATCATGTTTAAGAACTGTCTTGCCTGCATTATGGCTGTACATTGAATAAATTATGCATGAATTTTATAGCTGGGAAAATGTATCTTGAACATTTAAAGTGACATTGCCCTGTAACTTTATCATGGAGTTTCTTATGAAAGATGTTTGTGGAAGCTGATCCTGCTGTAGTGAAGTGCTTTGGCTGAGATCAGTCATGTAAGTCAGGTTGAGCAAAATTCATGTCAGTTAGTATTTTTTTCAATTTTCCATTGCAAAATTCAGTTAGTATTCAGTTAGTATTGTTCAGTTCAGTTAGTATTGTCCATTGCAAAATTCACAAATTTTCTTAGTGGATGTTTTTAAATTTAAATAATCATCGAACAGTTATTTATATGGAGTAAAATCACTGCATCATTGAACAGTCATTTACATGAAGTAAGAAAGTGGTAGCCTACATTCCAAATTGATAGTTTTTTCTTGAAAATATCCCAATAATTGGAAATTTTATATTCAATGTATGTATAATGAAAATATATAGGGCACTAGGTATGTTTTAGTTGTGTTTAGTCACAATATTGAAGCATAACACTCCTGTTTTGTGCAGGGCATTGCTCTGTCTCCTCAGTACCCCTCATTCCTGGAGCATGCCATCAACACCTTCCTCAAGATACTGAGCGAGGGCGAGCCTCAGTTCATTTCTGAGCATCATCAGCAGGTCAGATCATCTTGTGAATGGTTCTTTCTTGATTGTTCAATTCTACTCTCTTGGGGTAGGTTGTTAAATTCAGATCACAGGCTAAATTCATTTGTTAAATTGTCACTCTAAAGGATTTTCTTCTGTGCTGTATTTATACTGTAGTATTCTTGATTGCTTTGAATAATGTATTCTATTATAAACTTGTATACTGTATTGATAGGCTGTATTTCTTGTTGCTAACAATGTTGCACAATCTAATCACAGATCTTGTCTATAGTACTTACTAAATCCATGATGAAATATATTGGCAATTTCTCTTAAATAAAACTCCTGCTCAAAAAATTCAAAGGTGCCTTGAAAAAAATTACTGCTTGAAATCGTGAAATGTCTTCAGACATTGCAGCCCCTGAATTTTTTGGGTGTCATCTTTAGTTCTATACATGAAAGGCATAACTCCACATAGCTGTAGACCAGTGGTTCCCAAACTTTTTCAGGCTGGTGCCCCTTTTGCTCCCCAGTGAATCTCTAGCACACCCCTCGCCCCCAACAGACACATTTAAAAACAAATGCCTCTTTCTTGATACTTAGTATGCTGCAATTTTAAAAGAGAAATGTTAAACACAAATGTATATTTCACAAATTGAACCCCATTTAGTAAACCATTCTATTTTTTCACAGTTTTAACTGTTTCAGCGCTAGAAATTGAGGTGGCTTGGACAAATTTATGGCTGGACTCCTGGCCGGTCTCACAGCCAATCTCCAAATTCAGTGACCAAGGAATATCTCCCAAACTAATGAACGCAGCTTGATAAAACTTGGAACACTTATTCATTAGAACCTATCGGTGATGTTTAACTCGTGAAAAAATTTTAAGTTTCACCGTCATTCGCGAGTTATATGGTGATACAGGCTGAAATTCCCAGTGATCAAAGAGTTTCTTCCAAACTACTGAACAGATTCGAACGAAATTTTGAATATAAATTCCTAGCAACCAAATGGTGATTTTTAGCTTGTAAAAATTTATTTGAGTCAGAGTCATGTTCTGCATGTGTTGTGTACAAATCTACAAACAAACTTCTGACTTCGACTTCGCGGACTGCCGCCCCCCTACTGCCCCTTTCTTCCTCACTGCCCCCACAGATCTTTCAATTGCCCCCAAGGGGGCAATATCACCCACTTTGGGAACCACTGCTTTAGAAGAGCACTTGTTCATGTTAATTTTGTCTCGAGGTGAAATATTATTTTTGTTATACAATTTTTGATTACTGAAAAATGGTTGTTGTTTTTGTTGTGCAGCAACTGCGAAAACTGGTGCTCGAGATGATCCACAGGCTCCCTAGCAATGACTTCCTGAAGCCCTACCTACGGCAGATCCTCACCGTTTGCTTCCAACTCCTACAAAAAGATAATGAAGAGAACGTCATGGTGGCTCTTAGAATCATCATTGAACTTCACAAAACTTACAGACCACAGTTTTCTACTGAGGCAAGTCACATCCTTCTTGGACGTATCACAATGCAATTAAATTGGAATGCCTCATTCTATTATTAATTCTCAAACAACATTATTCTCCAAGTATTTGAATAGAGTGATATGAACGCCAGTGTGTCCTTTGATTTTGAGCCAATGGAAATCTTATGCAAAAGAATACAAAACGGAAGTCCATGACAGCATCAAATTTCTTCACTCTGACTAATTTTTAGCCCAAAAAACATTATATTACATTACATGAATATGCACGTTTCTTAATTCATTGTAGCACAAATTTTCTCTTATTTGTATTAATTTTCGTAAGAAGCCGTAAGTACATTTAAAGTGATACCACTCAAGCCATATGAATTCTTCATCCTAAACACCTTGCCCATAAAGCATTATAAATGTGCTGATTACAATGTAAATATTTTCAGGGCGCGCAGCAAATAAAGGAATTCCTGGCTTTTGTGAAGACTATGTACAGCGAACTGCCCAACCACCTGCCGAAGATCTTCGAGCCCAAGCAGAGCTTGCGTGTGACAGACCTCGCCGAGCTCGACTTGGACAGATTACTGACGGGAACTTTCGCCATCACGCCCATACAGACGGAGAAGAAGCAGGCCGATGAGTCGCCTGTCACTGTAAGCAGCAATGCTAGCCTTGCTTGTCTGTTACACTTGACCTGTAACTTTATGTACAAATACTGTTGAGCAGTTCAGCACGTTTTGCTTCACTTTATGTACACATACTGTTGAGCAGTTCAGCACGTTTTGCTTCACTTTATGTACACATACTGTTGAGCAGTTCAGCAAATTCCACTTCTCCCTGTCTTTGGTGATATATACATCAGTATTAATATTCCTAGTTTTAAATTTCATCGTTATTTTTGCTCAAATTGCTTAGGCATGTAATTCCAGCAAGTAATTCTGGGGATTGATAGCAGCGAAATTGCTATAGACATCGAAAAATTATCTAGCTCTATAAAATATCTTGCCTTGAAGCTCTAACGGGCGAAATATCTTACAAGTTGAAGCGCTAGTAAACCACATTACTATACTACTACTTGTAGCTGTTATAGGTATAGGTTAGTATTGAGACAATCCATAAAACTAAGTATTTGCACATATCGCCCTGCCAAACAGCTTGAAATTCTCCCCAGTGCTCATTGGACCAAACATGCAAGGAACTCTCGCAGCATGACGTAGGATGTTATTATTAGGTATATTAAAGTGAGGTTTGTGGTGTGCAGTACAACGTGATCCCGCGGGCGCTGCTGTCACTCAAGGTGCTCACGGAGCTTCCGATCATCGTGGTGCTGATGCTGCAGCTCTACAAGGACCAGGTCTACCAGGAGGTCGTCGACTTCATACCCCTCATCATGGACACCATCACCCTCCAGCCAGTGCACAGGTGCGCCTCTTTTCATGCCTCGTCTTAACCCTCTTCACGTCCCGTCTTGCCCCTCTTCACGCCCCGTCTTGCCTCTCTTCACGCCCCGTCATGCCCTTCTTCACGCCCCGTCTTACCCCTTTTCATGCCCCGTCTCACCCCCTTTTCGTCACTATAAAGGAATGCAGGTTCAGGCCACTTGGCATAACTGCGACTTTGTCCTCATTGTTGCTCACACATATCACACATATAATATTCCTTGGTCTCGGGACTTGCAGGGAGAACGAGCCCTTCAACAAGGAGGTGTTCGTCGACCTGATCGCCGCGCAGATCAAGATCCTGTCGTTCCTGGCGTACATCATCAAGACGTTCCAGGACCGCGTGGTGGAGCACTGCGACCAGCTGGTGCAGGGTATGCTGCAACTGCTCACCCTCTGCCCCAGCGAAGTGGCTCACCTGCGTCGGGAGCTGCTTATCGCCACCAAGCATATCCTTGCGCTCGAACTCCGTGTCCGTGAGTTACTATTCTGGGACCTTACTATAAAAAATGGATACTAGTTTAATACTCCGTCAGCCGATCACTGAAGGTTTTTCTAAGCTAAACCGACCAATCACAGACGAGGAGTCGGTCGCTTTGTCTATTAAGGCCGCTCCATGTACTTCAGCAAGATTTAATAGTACTGCTCTTTGTGCACCGTCGTCTCTTCACCAGACCTGTAAAACTTTTATTTAAAATTAAATGGCCGCTCGCACACTTTTGAGTTTAAATGTTGCCATAAACTGGTCTTGTTAGGTACAATCGTTCGCTGCATAAACAGCGTATTTGATATTTCCCTACGACGCGCCTTTCCTATTCAGCTTCATGCCTCACTTACACACACTGAAGTACGTCAGAGAAGCGCCGCTTCTGTGTGTTCTGCTGTCCTCTGTCATGGCGGAGGATAAAATTTTGAGAATAATGAAATAGTTTACCTGATGAGGCGTTTATTAATATGGTATCAGTAATACGATAGTAAAACACTATTATGACTAGTTTCGTATGTTAAAAGTGTATCAAAGTCAATAAAAATTATCAAGCATGGCAGTTCGAATTGCACGGGTATCGTGGATACAGAGTCTAGATGCTTCCAGTACATTTTATTAAAGATGGAATTAGGTAGTTATCCAAAAAAATGAAGCAATTGAAATCTTACGAAGGAGTAAATAATTTAAAGCATGCGAATTTGGTTATGATAAGTCACAGTGGTTCTGGTACAATATCCAGTATCTGAACGGCTCATCGCCACTTATCATGTATTTTTTTTTTGTAATAGTTACTATACGTCCAACCAAATTATTGTTTTCAAGCTATGAAGCAAACTTTTTCAATGTTTTGTCTAAAAGGTAAAAAAATCTTTCACATCTTTATATTAATTACGTTTTTGATGAACATTTCATTTTCCATCTACCCGTGAGGCATAATATGTAATACTGATCCAAGTTTCTAACCCTGCCGCCAGAGTTCGTGCCTCACATCGATCGCTTGTTCGATGAAAAGCTGTTGTTCGGAAGCGGGTGGACCGCTCACGAGACGCTGCGACCGCTGGCATATTCTACGCTAGCTGATCTGGTTCACCACGTCAGGTGCGGCAGTCTGCATGCTCATTCTTCTTGCTATTTGCTTGAGCAGAAAGAAATTCATGCTATTTGCTTACGAATAAATTCATGCTATTTGCTTGAGAAGACATTCATGCTATTTGCTTGAGAAGAAATGAAAATCATTGAGAAGAAAAGAAAATCATTGAGAAGAAAAGAAAATCATTGAGAAAATGTAGAAGTAGAATATTTCTTAGCGAACTTCTTGTGATCGCGATTTCTACGTACCAGAAGTTTAGTGGCGTGAAAGGAGTGTTGAGTATATGTGTGTGTGACGTCCCAGGGTATATACATGTAGATGAGTATCGATGAGCTTTCTCTGCTTTCGTTCATTTTACGATTGGTTTGTTTACTGCTTTAAAATTCTTGTCTATTTGGTATGACGATATTCGTGTGTCATTCATGTAACCATATTTTGTCATTACTGTACGAATCACAAATATAACATGGTGCTGGTTTTTTTTAGGACGAAGCTGAATTTACAAGCGTTGAATCGCGCAGTACATCTTTTTTCGAAAAACATCCACGATGAGACACTACCTACGAGCATCCAGACTATGTCTTGCAAGTTATTATTGAACCTGGTGGATGGCATCAGGACCTACAACCATGATGATGGCCACGACCCGATGCTTCCTAAAGACTTGCTCATCCGCATGTTGCAGGTTTTCGTTGATAAGTTCAAGTCCATAGCTCAGCTGCAGGTTCCTTACTTGAAACAGAAGCACGCAGAAAAAGAAGCCGTTGGTGCGACACCGTCAGCTTTCTCTGCTACTTCTGCGCCCAGCAGCACGCCAGGGTCGAGCTCAAGCAATGGCTTGGACGCTGGCCAGGAAATCAAACAAGAAGATGTTAAGGACTCAAAGATTCCTTTGGGTGCTTCAGCCGGACCTGGTGCCACTTCTTGCACTTCCTCAGATACAGAGAACGCTAAAGAAAAAGATCAAATCCAGAAGCTTGGCGCACCTCCAAATGTCACTCAAAATTATAGTGTGCCTGATTGCAAAGCCCTCGTCAAGACTTTGGTCTCAGGCGTCAAGACCATCACATGGGGGTATACGAATTCGCGTTTCTGCGCCGAGAAACATTCTAATGGCGAGAAAATTTTTGAACCGAAAGAGGTCCTGATATTCATCAGGTTTGTTAAGTGGGCGATGCAAGCTCTGGACATTTACGCCATCAACACCCCTGGTACCACACAGGGGGCCGCCCATGGTCCCTCCCCCCAGCGGGGCGCGGCAGTCACGACCGCTGGCCGATCCAAAGAAGAAAAAGATGTTCTCGAACATTTCGCGGGCGTCTTTACGTTACTTAATCCAGCGACTTTTAGAGAAATATTCTCTACCACCATCGACTACGTTGTTGACAGGATCCACCTGAATAATGCTCTCCAAGGGGTAGCGAACACGTTTCTTGCCAATCCTGTTCCATCGCCTGTGTTCGCGACTATTCTGGTGGAGTACCTCCTCAAGCACATGGAAGAGATGGGGAAGCCCGTGGAACGGTCAAGCCTCTACTTAAAACTCTTTAAGCTGGTGTTCGGAAGTGTATCGCTCTTCGCTACTCCAAATGAACAAATGCTCAAGCCTCATTTGCATCAGATTGTCAACAAATCCATGGAGTTGGCTATGAGTGCGAAAGAACCGTACAATTACTTCCTGCTTCTGCGAGCGCTCTTTCGGTCTATTGGGGGAGGTAGTCACGATTTGCTATACCAAGAGTTTCTTCCTCTATTGCCTACATTATTGCAAGGCCTCAATAGCCTGCAGAGCGGTCTGCACAAACAGCACATGAAGGATCTTTTCGTGGAGCTGTGCCTGACTGTACCCGTCCGTCTCTCTTCCTTGCTGCCATATCTGCCCATGTTAATGGATCCGCTTGTGTCTGCTCTCAACGGCTCCCACATGCTTATCTCCCAGGGCCTGCGAACACTCGAACTTTGTGTCGACAATCTTCAACCTGATTTCTTGTACGAACACATCCAGCCCGTTAGAGCTGAGCTCATGCAGGCTTTGTGGAAAACCCTGCGCAACCCCAACGACAACACTGCACAAATTGCCTTCCGCGTTCTCGGCAAGTTTGGAGGCGGAAACAGAAAAATGATGATTGAGCCGCAAAAACTGACCTACGAAGAACAAGAAATCCCGAGTACATGCATCAATGTCCAGTTCGCTGAACACAAAATGCCTATATTACTTCCTGTTGAAAGGATCATTGAAGTCGCGTTCAATGCATTGAAAACGTCCACGACGGAACCCTGGTACCGACAGCAATGCTGGGAAGTTGTGCGCTGCTTCCTCATAGGATCTATGCTCAAGGACCAAGATCGAGGCCTTTTATTGAAGCTAATTAACCACCCAAGCTTCAAAGATGGAGAGATCACAGCTTCTGAACCATACAAGTGCCGTGACGAGGCAGCTCGCCGAGTTCACCAGATGGCGTTGACTGCGATGCTCGTCACGGCAGCCATCAAGGAACTGAGTAAGCAGGTGCTGCGAACTGTCGTGTCCGTGGTACGACACTATACGATGGTCGCCGTCGTCCAGCAGGCGGCACCATTCAATGTCCAGAACAAGATTCAGGGCATGGATCCGTACGTGCTGATTGACGCTCTCGCTGTCGTTATGGGACATGAAGAAAAGGAACTTTGCAAACCTGGTCATGTGACTCTGATGTTGATCATCAGCGCCGCTAGTGACATCCTTGGAAGCAAAGAACGAGCCTCTCGACTGCCACTGATGGAGTATCTTGCCGTGAAGATGTGCCAGCTGTGCTACGAACGAGCTTGGTATGCTAAACACGGCGGTTGTCTCGCCATAAAAATCCTGTGTGAGAACATGCCACTCAAGTGGGTCTTGCAGCACCAGTTTGCCTTCTTGAGGGCGCTCATGTACGTCATGATGGACTTGTCTGGTGAAGTTTCCACTGGCGCAGTCGACATGGCCAAGACAAACTTAGAGAAAATACTACTGCAGTGCGCTTCTCCTCTTCAACCTCCACATGACACTCAAGAGATGCTGGTCATGCAAGAGAAGTCTCTGCACGAGGTCACTCAAGAACTTGTCCTTCAAGTTACCTCATCGAACACTATCGTTAGGGAACAGACTATGCAATCTCTTCACCTTTTAGGGAGACTTACTGGTCGCGGCGTAACGGAGGTCATGTTGCCTCACAAGAAAGTCTTGGCTGACATGATCCCTCCGAAGAAACACCTCCTGCGTCATCAGCCTGCCAATGTCCAGATTGGTCTCATGGAAGGTAATACTTTCTGCACGACTCTCGAGCCCAGGCTGTTCACACTCGATACTAATGTTCAAGAGCACAAAGTCTTCCTCAATGAGCTATTGTATCTCGTTGATTTTGACGATGTGCATCTCAGAAAGTATTCTTGCTACAAAAACGTGAGCAGCTTGATACCGCTTAAAAAATCTGCTCTCCGCGCGCTTTCTACATGTCACTACATTCATGTCTCACAAGACAAGATCTTCACTTCCATCTACAAAGCGCTAATTACAAGCAACAACACGGAAATTCAAGAAGCTGCTTTCGAGGGCCTCCAGAAGTTTTTGGACGGCCGAGCGCCCTCCGACTCCATCACAGCTGTGGTCCGCCCTCTAGTGTCCCAGATCTGCAACAGCATGACTCGTCTTTCTCCTCAAATGGTTTCCAAGATTTCATACATCTCACGTCTGTTCCCTAATCTCTTCACAGAATTCGTGTGTAACGAACTCTTGCAGTACTGCTGCAATCTTCTCGACAGTGCCGCCCTCAATCCCCGATCTACCGCCGAGCTGCAACTTGCGGCCAGCATCCTAGACCTGTTCCACCGCATGCCGCAAACTTCACCGCGCTCCATTGAGCGCATGGCTACTAAAGTGATGGCGGCTGAGCGTGCACTTCTCATTGAGGCTGGAAGCCCACTACGTGAGCCACTCGTCAATTTCCTCGTCCTCCATCCCGTCGAAACTCTCGAACTCTTCCTCTCCCCAGCTCATGCTGGCAATGAACAGTGTGGGCGCTACTTGGAATACATTATTCGGCACTCGATTTCCGCTCCACTGCGGAGTCAGATGGAGCTATTGGGTGATAGGCTGCTCTCTTTGATGTCAGAAACTGACGTGACACCGGCGTTCAGCGCTCAGAAACATTTCCTGGCCATCAGAATGACCCTGCTGGCCGCTCGCCACAACAACGCCTGGCTTGACACGCAGCCCGCACTCCTGCAGAGTATCCGTGACCTCTGGAACTCTGAAGACTTCCACGAGAAGCACATAATGTGCGATACCGTTGAATTCAGCCACTGGAAGATTCCTCGAATGGTCGTCTCTATCTTGCTGATCTACTACAAAAACCACAGTGACGATATTCCCCTTTTGTTCCAATTGGTCAAAGCGTTCATTGGACGCTACATTCCCGAATTTCAATTCCTCCGTGAGTTCCTTGAGGAAACTGTGGCGAAAACTTATGCTGTCGAGTGGAAGCGTCGAGCGTTCTTTGAGTTTGTGCAACTGTTTGTGGATGGCTCAGTTGTTCAAGAACTCAAGGCCTGCGTTCTGCAGTACATCATCATCCCCAGCTTCTCTGTGAGCTTGGAGCGTGGCGAACGCGATCTGCTGATCAGCAATAGCGAAACTCCCTGCATTGATTCCCCCGATAACATCGTATCGGTCTTCATCAACCAAATCATGAACCCAGACAACAACGGGCACTTCATCGACGCGCTACGCATCCTGTTATTACAGTTGTCATGTCTTTTGGTGGAGAAAGCTTCTAACTATTTCCACGATGACAGCAGCCACCGTCAGGGTGAGAAGATGAGACAAGGAGACAAGTTACGTCGTCTCATGACCTTCACATGGCCGTGCTTGCTAGCGAAGAACTGCGTCGACCCAGCCACCAAGTATCACGGGCATTTGCTGCTCTCGCATATCATCGCCAAGTTCGCCATCAACAGACGCATCGTCTTGCAAGTTTTCCACAGCCTCCTCAAGGCGCACGCCATGGAGGCCAGAACTGTCGTCAGACAAGCCTTGGAGATACTTACTCCCGCCATGCCTGCTAGAATGGAAGACGGTATGCATTCTGTGTCTATTGATCACTGCTTTAGGAATTATGAATTTGCCTAATTATTTTTCGTAAATTCTGTTTAAAATTTAACATTATTAAATAATATATAAATAAAAATTTAAATATATTTAAATAATATTTAATAATATCAATAATTATTTGATATTTAATGTCCAGTTGCTTGTGTGTCGTCTGATTTTTAATGTCGCCAACATTGTTTCGTCGTTTATTTTTATCTCTGTCAGAGAAACGTTATGTTAAGAGCAATGTGCAAGCTACGAACTGCTTGCTCATTTGACCTTTTAAAAGCATACAGGCGTTTGCTAATGCTGGCTAAACAATGTTCGTTGACGCAGTGGACACGTGATTTCATGCAATGTTTGCTATTGCAGGCAACACAATGCTGACCCACTGGACTCGTAAGATCTTGGTAGAAGAAGGCCACAGCATCGGCCAACTGGTGCACATCCTTCAGCTGGTGGTGCGCCATGTGGACGTGTACCAGCCGGTGCGCCAACACCTCGTCCACCACATCACCAGCGCCATGCACAAGCTTGGCTTCTCCATCACTGCCAATATGGACCAGAAGAGGCTGGCTGTTGACCTCGCAGAGGTGATGCTTCTAACCAGCGCATTCATTGCATCTCATAATTGTATTTTATCTCGTTTTTGTTCGAAAGGAATTTTGTTCCAGGTTAACTACTTGAACATTAAGTAGTTCCAGAGCTTATAAACTTTTTGATCACGACCCAACATGTGAAACTATGATTCTTATATGCCGGCAATAGTTGGTGTATTCATTAGTTTTAAAAATGTTATTATTTACTTAGTTAATGCCATTAAATTTCAGGTTTAAACATCCACGTAAGATTTACTTGAAGGTCTGTGAGCAGGTGTGCATCAAGTGGGAAGAACGTCGAGTAGCGGACGAGAAAGCAGGCGTCGTGGCGCCGGCAGTAGAGACCCGCATGAAGGGACGCACGTTGCTGGACCAGTACCGACCTGCCGTGCATGCAGACACGGTCGTCTACTTTCTGGTTCGTTTACCGTGCCAAGTTCACGAGACTAGTAGCGCCACATCAGTGCTTCTGCCCAACGCTTCCCCGCCCCTGCCTGCAGCTACAGCCAGCGAGCTTCTGTCCAGAAGGTGCTCACTTCTGCTCAAAAGAGCCCTGGTCGTGTGGCCCAATGCTGATCCCAAGCTTGCTTGGCTGGATAAGCTCTTCCAGGGCCTAGAAACTCCCCAATACAGTCTAGGTAATGTTTGTTCCGGTCTTGAGCTTCTAACTTACCTCGTAGGGAAGCTCAAGAAGGAACAAATGCTTGCAGCCGTAAAGAGTCTTTACCGCGGACTCCTATCATGTTGCTCCTGCTCCAATCCACGCGTCATCCGTCTTCTTCATCCTCTTTTGTCAACTCTGCTCACGACTTTCGGTGTTGATGAACTGGACGAGTTTGTCACCCGTGCAGCCAAGCTGGTGCAGGAGGCACTGGCCAACCACGACCGTGGCACAACAGGCGCCGTGGGTACCCTGTACCCCGCCCTTATGGTCATGAGGGCGCTGGCTCAACACTCGACGCAGCATCTGGACCGTCTTATGACGGCCATCATGAAGGTCCTGCAGAAAATTACCAGGGACCACATCACACCAGCTCAGATCGGCCCTGACGCAGCAGGTGAGGATCTTTAAACAATCTTCGGGTGTCCGGTAACATACTTCATGGGTTATTTAGTAAATTCGTGTATTTATATTTTATTTGGAAATAATGTACGTCTAAGCTACTGGTTATACTTTGTGAATGATACCTACTTCTGCATAAATGTCCAAAATCAATCGATAAGTATTAATTTGTGGATTGCTTTACTATAGTTTTCTGTTGTGCTGTGCTTTATACCTCCATGACACATATTTTTGAAGACTTATTTTGAATAATAAATTTTAATTTCATCTGTATGTGTGCAATTAAAATCAACTGTTTTTAGGGGAAGCAAATCGTGTAGAGGCGCTCATCGTGCTGCTGGAGCTCGTTAAGAACAGAGTGAGTGTCATGGGCGTCGACATGAGGAAGATCTTCATCGGCAACATCCTGGTGGGTCTCGTCGAGAAGACCCCGGACGTGAAGGTGATGAAGGCCATCACGAAGGTGGTGGGTGAGTGGGTGCGTGCTAAGCCAACCGCCCCAACGGCGTCAAACCAGGCGCCAAGTCTGCGTGAGAAGAGCATCCTACTGGTCAAGTTAATGCAGTACGTTGAGAAGCGCTTTGCTCAGGATGACGAAATGATGGCGCAATTCCTGAACCTTGTTCTCTTCGTGTACCGTGACGAACATTTGAGGAACACTGAGCTTGTGAGCAAGCTTGAGACTGCATTTCTGGCCGGTCTCAGATGCACTCAACCACAAATACGCGCTAGTTTTCTGCAAGTGTTTCAGGATAGCATGCCTTGTAGGCTTTACAGTCGCCTGCTCTACATCGTCTGCTCGCAGAACTGGGAGAACATCGGTCCTCACTACTGGATCAAGCAGTGTATCCAAATATTGCTCAGTACAGCACACGATAAAATCCCCATACAAGTGTCGCGCAGTGACATTATGTTGCCCAGCGTCACGTCCGTCGTGGGCTGGGCCGAGGCCAGCGACCGCGCCCTCTTCTCCATGCTCGCCAACGTCAAAGAAGAAGACGTGGATTCGTCATCTGTGAGCACGTCGACGGAAAATAATCAAGAAGATATTGACATGGAATTATCTTCCACGGTTCCCGGTGAGGGTTCACTCTCGGGTGGACGAAATTCTTCTCCAAACTCGCGAGCTAAACTGCAAAACCTCATCTCCACACAATGGAAGTTCTATCAAAGTGCCAATGAAGTTTACACAAGCCACTTCTTAGCAGGAACCGCTCAGCTCTGTCATATGGACACAAGTCTGGCTGAGTGGGTTTGGAAGCAATTATTCCCGCGTATTTGGAAGATTCTTAGTGAGAAACAGCAGCAGTCGTTAAGCAAGGAAATTCCTCCGTTCGTTTCGTCCGGTACCCACATCGTTCAGAAAGAATGCCATCCGTCTGCCATTCAAACGTTCGTAGAAGCTCTTTGTCTGTGCCAGCCGAGCGTGCCAATGCGTCCCTTCCTCCTGCAGTACCTCGGTAAGGGCCACAACCTGTGGCACCGCATGTGCCTGCAGCTCGAGGCCCTGATGCAGGCAGGACAGGTGCCCTTCTCTGCCATCAAGCGCGACTCCGAGTATTTGGACCCCATCCTCTCCCTGCAGCAGGTTTGTAATAGAATTATGATCCGTTCTAAGCGCATTTTACAAGCCTATTAATATTAATCCAGGCATTTAAATAAATCAATATTTTTTATCAGAATCCTTTTGAAATGTGCGTCGGTGTCAACCTGTCCCGATAATATCCATGTTAAATTAGCTCACATGCAAGCCATTTCTGCATGTGGAATAATGCGCTGCCCTAAACGCGAGCAGGAAGCCCTGTTTGGACTGCACGACCTGTACTCGCTGATGAAGGAGGAGGACCTCTGGGCGGGGCTGTGGCAGACGCACGCCCATTACCCAGAGACCAAACTGGTGAGTTCGACATCAGCTTTATGCTGGGATCAGGGGTCAGAAAATTCTCTTTTCAGATCTCGTCCAGGCATTAACAGGCATGGAAAGGAGTTTAACATTGAAATTTTTTAGGGAAAATACTTAGAAGTTGTTGCACAAGATTCAGTTGGTTTTCTTCGATTATTTATAATTATTTATTTTCGCACTTTTCCTGTTTTTCCTTGTTAATGTTTCTATGTTTCAGTCGGTTTTTGTATCTAGAAGTCGGTATGACTGGAAAATTTCTGCTGTGGATGGCCATTGGATGTAAAGTGAATGGGTTAGAGCGTGCGTAAAGCTGATGTTGAAGCTTTTACGTGTTGCAGGCCCTTAAGATGTTTACGTGTTGCAGGCCCTTAGAATGTTTACGTGTTGCAGGCCCTTAAAATGTTTATGTGTTGCAGGCCCTTAAGATGTTTACGNGCTGGCTCAGGTCAGAGCTTCGTGCTGGCTCAGGTCAGAGCTTCGTGCTGGCTCAGGTCAGAGCTTCGTGCTGGCTCAGGTCAGAGCTTCGTGCTGGCTCAGGTCAGAGCTTCGTGCTGGCTCAGGTCAGAGCTTCGTGCTGGCTCAGGTCAGAGCTTCGTGCTGGCTCAGGTCAGAGCTTCGTGCTGGCTCAGGTCAGAGCTTCGTGCTGGCTCAGGTCAGAGCTTCGTGCTGGCTCAGGTCAGAGCTTCGTGCTGGCTCAGGTCAGAGCTTCGTGCTGGCTCAGGTCAGAGCTTCGTGCTGGCTCAGGTCAGAGCTTCGTGCTGGCTCAGGTCAGAGCTTCGTGCTGGCTCAGGTCAGAGCTTCGTGCTGGCTCAGGTCAGAGCTTCGTGCTGGCTCAGGTCAGAGCTTCGTGCTGGCTCAGGTCAGAGCTTCGTGCTGGCTCAGGTCAGAGCTTCGTGCTGGCTCAGGTCAGAGCTTCGTGCTGGCTCAGGTCAGAGCTTCATGTTGGCTCAGGTCAGAGCTTCATGCTGGCTCAGGTCAGAGCTTCGTGCTGGCTCAGGTCAGAGCTTCGAGCTGGCTCGGCTTAAAGCGGCTGCACCACGCTAGGAGTGTGTTGCTGACTTACGAGCTTATTCCTGTCTCGTGGCGTAAGCTTTCCATAGCCAAGTGCTGGGCTGACAATTTGAATTTCAACTATTCGTCTCTCATCTGCAAGTCTAAATAAAAAAATTTCATTTCAGGTCCTTAGGCCTCTAAAAATTTATTTCTATTCACTCTTTTCAATGTTGTTTAGCAAATTAATCACCATTATTAAGCAGAGTTTTGACTTTTTTGCAGCAGTGCTAACTTCAATTATATTATACACTAGGTGAAACTAAGAAGTCTTCTCCTCGAAATGACGGTCATTGCTTAACTGACAATATTGCCCGGACGGGTAGCTAACGATTTATGTCCTTTATAGTTGCGTTAGTTCGTTCACTATGACGTTGGTTCATTTATTGCAACGGTAATCCGTTTATTGTGAAGTCAGTTAGTTTATAGTGATGTTAGTTTTTTTATTATTACGTTTATTATTAATATGACATTACGTCGAATACTCGTCGCAAATGCTGGCCCGCCGTGATCACCCCTCTGGGTCTGCAGGTGCACGAAGGAGCTCAACCAGTGGGACATCGTGCGGGAGTTCGGCTCCGACCCTGCCAACGGCTTGCCGCAGTTGGTGCTGGACACCGCATGGCGAGTGCCCGACTGGCCTGCCATGAAGGACGCCCTCGCTTCCATGGAGCGCGCCTCCTACCCGAGGTACGTCCTGTGATGCCTTGAAGAAGGGCCCTCGCCTCCTGCCCGAGGTACGTCCTGTGCTGCTCTGAAGAAGGGCTCTCCCCTCCTGCCCGAGGTACGTCTTGTGCTGCTCTGAAGAAGGGCTTTCCCCTCCTGCCCGAGGTACGTCCTGTGCTGCTCTGAAGAAGGCCTTCCCCTCCTGCCCGAGGTACGTCCTGTGCTGCTCTGAAGAAGGCCTTCCCCTCCTGCCCGAGGTACGTCCTGTGATGCCTTGAAGAAGGGCTCTCCCCTCCTGCCCGAGGTACGTCCTGTGCTGCTCTGAAGAAGGGCCCTCGCCTCTTCCAGAGGTACGTCCTGTGCTGCGTGGCGCGTTACCTGCACCTCGTCCCTCAAGTTTCATTGAATTTTTATGTGATGAGAAATCTCCCTCCGTGGGATAATTCGCAAACTGCATGATCTGAAAGCTCATTAAAAAATAAGTAGTAAAAATATCATTACATATCATAATATTACATAAAATATCATTTTTCTATCACTCAGTTTTAAAGATGACATCGGACAAATGACGGCCCCATTGTCAATGCATTCAGTTAGCAGATTTTTGAAGTTCCGTTCAACTCGCAGAAGCAAATTGACGGGTATGTTGGCGATGGCTTGGCGTATGTTGTTCTTCAAATGAGGTAGGGTTCGTGAACAGTCATTGTAAACAATTCAAGTAATTGTAGATAACCCATAAATAAAATCACGTGGTGCCAAACCGGGGGATCGTGCAGACCAAAGAAGGTCACCTCTCATGAAGATAAGGCACTCTGAAGAGTTTTCTCCTAAAATACGTTGAACATCGCGCTATGTGGGCGATGGCTCCATCCTATTGGAATCAAACGGCAAAAAACGGCGTTAATCGTTTGCGTGTACAGAACAGCAGTCACCGTTACTGCGCGTTCGTTTTCCTCAAAGCAATAAGGGCCAATTATGCCGTTTACTATCAATCATTAACAATTATCAATTGTTTACAATGGCTGTCCAGACCCGTCAATATGCTTCAGCGAGTTGAATGCAACTTCAAAAGTCGACTAACTGAATGCATTGGCAATGGAGGCCGTCAGTTGTCCGATGTAATCTTTAAAAGTTAGTAATATAAAAATTCTGGTAATGCCTTTTTCAATAAAATTAATTATTAATATTTAAATGATATCTTCACTAGTTCATTTTTTTATTGAGCTTTCAAATCAGAAAGTTTCAATGAATCGCCCTGTATTACAGCGAGGTTTGACTCACTGGCATGCATCACACTTGCTTCTGAAGTTAAGGCTTCCGAAAAGTTTGGCTCAAATTAGATATTTCCTAAAGACATTTGAAGGTATTGATTATTCTGCATAGACAACGCATTTTCCATTAGACATTTGAACGTTTTAATTCGTTTTCGTCGTATAACGTGACGCTTCTATGTTTATATAAATGATACCCAGTAATTAAAATATCCTCACGCTATGTTAATTTCACAGAATATCAATGGAAGCTGAACCGTATGTTCAAAGCATATACCCTAATGATTACACTATTCCAATTTAGAGAAAAACAATGGAGGGTGAACCTCCTCTACACACGACATAATGCGCTGAACTATTTCGATGACAGAGTATATCAATGGAAGATGAACTTGTACTTATACTAAAACGCTTTTTACTATTTTTATTGCAGAGAATACCAATGGAAAGTGAACCTGTACAAATACTATAATGCTTTGTACTATTTTTATTGCAGAGAATACCAATGGAAAGTGAACCTGTCATAATACTAAAACGCTTTTTACTATTTTTATTGCAGAGTATACCAATGGAAAGTGAACCTGTACAAATACTAAAATGCTTTGTACTATTTTTATTGCAGAGAATACCAATGGAAAGTGAACCTGTACAAAGGATATCTGGCAATATGCTACGGCGAGGAGCAGACTCCTGCGACCGTAGACAAGATCGTGGACGTGACCTCGGCGCTCTGCATACGAGAGTGGAAGCGCCTGCCGCCCATCGTGTCCCACATCCACTTACCCTTCCTGCAGGCGGCGCAACAGGTGGCAACTCTAATGCCGAATGTTACTTTTGTACACTTAACATAACATAAAAAATATAACTCAGTACTCACTGCAGTGCTGACAGAGAGCGCATTTTCTCGTCGACGAAAACTTGAGGTCACGGACAGACGGACGGACAGTCGGACAGACAGACGGAGGGACGGACGGATATGGCGAGCACAATAGTGCATTTTTTCAATAAATGAGAAAATGCGCTAAAAAGTGATGTTGGCGCTGAAGAGTAGGCATGATGTGGCCTGTCACCGATTCTTGTACTACTTTTCGTGACTTGTCCACAGGAGATCTAAAAACAGGTCCTTCGACCGGATCTTTTATCAACTGACGATAGTTTGAAATAGCTACTAGACTTGCACCGGGTTCGATATGATGCTAGGCGTTTCAAGTCTGAACATTCAAGTCTTAAATATCGTGCGCAATAAAGATTTCTTTTTAATTTTTCAAGAAATGCGAAGCAGGTAACGTTAGACATAACTTTTTCTAGAAAAGATTCTCTAGAAACGACTGCAAATATAGTTGGATATTCTTCATTATTATAGTGCATATACAGGAATACATTGCGAACATCTTGCATTAAGTCATTGCCTGACTACCTCTGCATAAATACATTTATCTTCTGTGAGATATTGAGTGCATTGACTGGATGTAGCAGGGCGTGTGTACGGCCTGCTATGGTGAGCTGGTCTTTGAAGAAGTGTTTATAATTTCCAAAGCTATTCACAATATTGCTCTATTATTACTATTCAATCTGAAGCATCAACAATAATTCTCAATAATCGGAGCTATCAATGCTCGATTATCGGAGCTATCAATAATCATGCTCTTCCATGCTTATTCAAATTTGTTCATCCATCATTTCACCTGAGGATTTACGACTTGTTTAGGAGTGAGCTTTACAATTTCTAAGCAAAGAAATGCAATGCAGTGCGCTCCTTGAGTAATGTCGACGTTCGAACTGCGCGACGTCATATAAAACTTTTCCACTGATCTCTTCTTTACTCGTACGTTACTTGATTGTCATGTATATGCATCGCTGTAGCTCCTGAGGAGTTGGCAACTGCTATTTATAGCTGTTCAGTTACGGAAATAGTAATGAATTCAATGGTAAGGACAAGCGTAATGTACAAAAATATAGTGGTGTATATTTTGGAAATCATAATTTCGAGTGCGTATTGGACGGTTTCAACATCTGGACCGAGACCGCTCGGATTCTTGTCGGAAATTATCTTTCGTGGTGAGAAGCTCTGTTGATGTTTGTTGTAGGTAATGGAGCTACAGGAAGCATGGCAGATTCATCAGGGTCTACTACAAGGACGGTCAAGCAGTTTACAAGACATGAAGGCAATTGTAAAGACGTGGCGCAATCGCCTGCCTGTCATTGCCGACGACCTCAGTCACTGGTCGGACATTTTCACGTGGCGACAGCAGCACTACCAGTTCATCGTCACCCACTATACCGACGCCGGCGAGACTGGACAGGTGCATCAATTTTATCGTACTTGCGCAACGCAATCATATTCCTCAGCTATAATTAATCCTTTAGCGTTGTTGGCGTTTATCCTGTGCCACTGGGAAATTTATAAAACAGGTTAATTAAGAGTAGTTATTACGGGTAAGTAGCATGTTTTGATCATTGTAATATAGAACACATAGATATATAATAGCAACCTCGTCAAAACGGCAAGTTTTGAAAGTAATTTCATGCAGATGCTATAGCAATGTTGAATTGTTAGGATACAATTTTAAATGGTTCCTCTTGAACTTCTCTTGGAAAAATTGTTTCAATTTTGTAATAAAGATTACGAATTGACTCTTTATTGTCGTGTAGGTCTAACCGAGTGTTGGTTTGCAGCAGAACAACAGCATGCTAGGGGTGCACGCCTCCGCTCAGGCGATCATTCACTTCGGCAAAATCGCCCGCAAGCACAACTCGACGAACGTCTGCCTTGAATCCCTCTCACGTATCCATTCCATACCTTCCGTCCCCATCGTCGACTGCTTCCAGAAGATCCGGCAGCAAGTCAAGTGTTATCTGCACATGGCTGTTGCCAACAACATGGGCAAAACCGAACTGCAAGAGGTACTTTTTTTAACTTGATTAAGCTTGTGCGCTGCATATTGATATATAACAATAGATACTCATCACAAAATTACTTGATAACGTCCGACTTGCATGAAGAGTAGGATTGAACGCAAAAAAAATCGTTCCTAATTCAGTGCTATACTTTATTTTGTTTGGTGATTTTGAAGTTATTGTTACGTCACTGGTGGTTGCTGATGAACTGTTTGCTCGTGTTGGAGTTGCAGGGTCTGGAGGTCATCGAGTCCACAAACTTGAAATTCTTCACCAAGGAAATGACGTCAGAGTTCTACGCGCTGAAGGGCCTCTTCCTGTCGCACCTCGGTAAGTTTAATTGGTCATTGGAATTGCTTTAATTAGTCATTAATTGCAATTGCTTTAATTTAGGCAGGCTACGGCCCTAGCGTCTTGGGCTTTACTTGGAGTATTCGCATTTATAAGTTCTCATCTAAAAAAATTACGGCAAAAATCCTACAGAGAGAAGATTGCAATGAAACGCTGGCGCATTTAATATTAAATTGGAAAATTTAAGTCACATCCTACGCTAACAAAAATCTCTAGCACAGAAAAAGGGTGATCCGAACACAATCATCAGTGAAATCTACTTTTACCAGAAGCGTTGACTCGTTGCAGTTCCGTTGAGTATACGACTGTCGTAAACGACCGTACTTCTTGCACGAGTGTGCGGCCGTACCGCAGCTGTAGCCTCGCCTCCTCGCTGTTGCCTTTCACAGTCACGTTGTCTTCTTAGCCATAATCTCCGCGCTTAGATTGATGTCTCACGACCGGTCACAACCGTAGAATTTAAATAACAACCGTACTTCCGACTATTGGTGTAGTCTTCATAGGCCTTGGTGTTACACCAAGCTCATTGCCGCACTTCTGCTGTTGGTGATCGTGACCGTACTGCTACTGATGATGACTGTGATCGTATTGTCTTGATGACCGTACAAATATGGCGAAATTATGGCCGTTACACGTAGATTTTTGACGTTATATCGGAGTCGTAGTGGTATGAATGACTCGACGTTTCGCGCAGCCGTTATTTTGCGAACCGCCGTCCAGCGGCCGGAGCCGTTGCGGCCGTCCGACGGCCGGATCCAGACCGTACTGGAGTGACGGTCACCGCAGTATAGGACAACTCTTAGGCGCAAATTTTAGGGTCTTGATATAGGCAGATGTCACGCACACATAAGCCTATACCAAGGGACGCCGCGACAGTTTCAAGTTCCACAAGAGTCAGTCCTTTCCATACCCTCAGCATTCCAAACCATAAACAAACTGGCCCTCACGGTTTTCTACCCCAACTTTGAGGTCATGTTCTCATCCTGCTTACAATTGCTTGACACCCCTCAGCCCTTCATCGAAACTTTACGTAAGCAATGTTTATTATTAAAATATAAACTAAAGTCAGAATTACCCATGATTAAATCAGGTTGCAACGAGCCTCTATGGTTTCCTTACTTGCTTTGCTCCATCCGTATTTTATTTTTGGATGTAAAATGCCTCTATTGTTGCATGAGAAATGGGGTGATCTATACAATTATATTTTATAGTTCAATGCAAATGTGCCAGTTTTTCATGAGCATGAGAAATATTTGTGGTGTTATTATGTTGATAAATCTGTGGTAAACTAGTACTAAAACTAGTTCCTCTGTGATGAATTTAGTAGCTATGAGTATCTTCATCCAAATGCGCTGTGGTCATTTTGCCATATTCCCTTGTATGGCCATCATGAAACAATTGAAGTGCGTTGGCTAAGCATTAGTAAGCAGGGACGCTGAACTAATGCCATGTCACAGCAGGATTGACTTGCGACAAAAGCTATAGGAAACCTCTCCTACTAATGCAGCCGTTCTGATTTAGGGTGGAAAAATGGCGTTGATTTTGCAAACGAAATTACGAAGCAATTCTCTTGCTCACCATCCTAATTACCACTTCACTTGATGGTGTAATATAATAGAGTAACTCTAATCCTTAAATATTATAGCTCCTTAGTCTGATGATTTAGAAGTTTCATCGTCCAATTACATCGTGTGTCATTCTGGCGAGTAATTAACTAGGAAGGTATCTCATTCGAGCGAGCAATACCTGCAGCTATTGTTAAATGTGTTAATTGGTTTGCAGGTCGTGCGGATGAGGCCAACAAAGCCTTCAGTTCGAGCGTACAGTTCCACGACTTGTTACTCAAAGGTTGGTCGCTTTGGGGCGACTTCATAGAAGTCGGCTTCTCGAGGGACACCAGCAACCTGAACGCCGCCGCTCAGGCAATCATCTGCTTCCTGCATGCTGCTCGGTGAGTCGCTGATGCGCTGTCTTTTAATAATTTTCCACGCGGTAATCGAACCTGGGCCCAAGCTGTTGCTACACGCTGTCTGGTGCGCACGCCTATGTGCGGCTAGAATTATGAAGCTTGCATGCATTTTTATGTAAATTAGGGTTTTGATAATTTTTTTCTCATGATCATAGGGTTATTATCATTGCATTTTTAAACTGATATTCTGCTGGGGATATTTCACTAATATTTTCTAACAGCTAAACTTGCAGATTCAACGCAATCAATATTTGAGGTTAATAGGGTTACTGACCGTGTGACGTGTCCCGCAGATGCGACAATGAATTGAAGGCTCGCAAGTACATAGCGAAGGTGTTCTGGCTGCTGAGTTTCGAGCCCGTGAGCGGCACGCAACTCACCGACGCGATCGACAAGTACGGCAACGCCGTGCCTGCGCTGCAGTGGCTCGCCTGGATACCGCAGCTGCTGACCTGCCTCGTCAGGAGGGAGGGCAAGGTGGGTTGCAGGGCAGGACAAAGTGGGGCCAGGGAGCAGTAAGAAATGATCAGGATAGATGGTAAGGTAGTTCATGAGAGGATGATAAGGTGAGTCAGGAAGCAGAACAAAGTGGGTCAGGAAGGAAGGCAAGTGGGTTTGGGTTGATTACCTTAATAATACATGGCTCTTCCAGTGGCCTAGAGAAATCAAGAATACTACCTTAAACTTAAAATGCTCATGGTTTTAGTTGAACTTCCACTGCATTCTATGCAAAGTGAAGGTAAACAAGAAAATTTTTTATATTGTAATTTTGTGTCAGGCTGTTGTCCCATGCGCACGTAGGGTATGGCTCAGGTAGTGGATCAGGTGGGAGTTGAGAGAAGAGGAGGAGTTGAGAGAAGAGCAATGACATTAAGGGGCGCCCTCACCGCCTGAGGGTGGAGGGGAGGGTAGGGCAGGGCAGGCGAAAAGTTAATTGTAAAGGGTCTCCGGCATGACAGCAGTTGGCGATTGCTGAGCGCCTCGCCGTAAGCGTGTAGGGATTTCCCTGTAGCCGATCGGATGTGAGGAACTAGGCAGGACCCTGCTCATCTTGGTGGTCATGGAGGCTCGGGCCAAAATCTCTATGCTGAGAGTCCTCTTCGCCCGTCCGTACAAACCGGCGTATACTTTCATAGGAGGAGGGCCACATGATGGCTTAATCGGGACATTATGATACATTTATCGGACTTTCTCTAAGATTGACGGAGTTGCCCAGTTTATTATTATTATTCTACGAAACACTTATCGTGGCGTCAGGCTCAAACGTACTTCGTGGGGACGTTACACATAAGTTTAATAGCAAGCGAGAAATAAATTGACTGAGAATCGATAAAAAATGGAATGGAATGGAAGTTAAAGATGAGAATGGATAAAAATGACTAAGCACTTGATTCATAGGCTCTACGAAATAGTTCCGACTTTAGGCGTCGACGAAACACCTGCAACGAAGGAGCCGATGTTATGGAACGATGCAGACTGTTCCATGGTTGTTTTTAGGGTTCTGGCGGCGGCCACCAGAAACGCTCTGTCGCCGACGGTAGTTAGACGTGTAGATGGAACGACGAGGTTCACTGCTGATGACGAACGTGGTCGTCTTCTAGAAGACTGATCCGACACGCGCTGCAGACATTCCGTGAGAAAAGGAGGCGCCTGACCGGGAAGGAATCAGAACGTCAGAACAGCGACCTTGAACTGCGTGCGCTGCTGCATGCTCAGCCAGTGAAGATCCTGAAATATCGGCGTCGCGTGGTCGAATTTTCGCTTATTGCACACGAGTCGCGCAGCAGCGTTCATTACGGATTGCAGTTTATTTAGTGCCGTGGTCGGAAGTCCATACAGTGTTGCTTTACCATAGTCCAATCTGGTCAGAACGAGTGCCACAACGAGGGCCTCGAGACACAGCGGCTGACGCTACGTATTAGTTGCTGAGTGCCGAAACAAGCGGTGGTGACTTTGGCAGTGTGATTGTGTTCATAGAAAGTTCCAAGTCCAGCAGAATGCCGAGGTTGCAAACCGAAGACGCAGGCAAGACGAACTCGTTGCCTACGCGAACAGGGTTTCCTAGAAGCTGATGCTGGCGCCGAGCAGTCGCAAATCAAATAAAGTCGGTTTTTGATGCATTGAGCTGATGACCTTAGGAATGAGGTCATCGAGAGCACGGGTCAGCTTGTTATTGTAGAGTTGCACGAGATTGTTGACTGATAGTGCCAACCATGAGTCAGGCCGACATAGTCAGGTCGACATAGTCGGGACGACTGCGGCTTATCGCGTAAGACATAACGGACGACAGGTAACGGTACGTAGAGTTCAGCGCAAATGATTGCCGCCGTAGCAACGGCCTATTGCCAGTGATGACGAACTCACCGTTGTCGAGCACTGCTTGATAGGCGGCAGCAGGACGCTTATTTCGGCCAGCACGGCATCCAAGACAAGACATGCGAGGCGTGGGGGACGTCACGATGAGTAAATCTACTCTCTCATAGACGGATGGATCAAGGGCTGCAACGAATGACCACAGGCCGAGCAGTCGCTTCGCCGAGTAAGCTAACGGCGCCGTCAGTAGCAACCAGATTCAGCTTGGGTCTAATAACAGTGATGCACGTCTACTGTCAGCTCAAAGCTGAATGTAGCGAGAAAACGAATACTCGCTATATAGTCCTCCTAGTCAAAAACACACTTGCGTCGACGTAGTTTACGTCAAGCAAGCTCGTGAGTAGCAATAAAAACCCGGTGTGGCGACACGCCCGCTCCAGCCATGGCATTCCTTATCCTTAGTATTTGTTTGGGACACAGCAGTCCCAGGCCACGATGGATCGCCGCCTCTGATTATCGTTCATCCGCCCTCATTTGGGCCACCTGATGCACGATGCTGTTGCTGTCTCTTATACACATCTAGATGTGTATAAGAGACAGCCCCTCCCCAGTGCGCATGTCCTGTACGGGGAACTCTCCCCCGAGCTCCAGCCCCGGCAGCGCCCCCACTCCCCGACGGGCGGCCCGCTCCATGGCCTCCTTGATGCAGTAGTACAGGTCCTTGCACTGCCAGGATAAGGGGAGTACAGGTCCTTGCACTGCCAGGATAAGGGGAGTACAGGTCCTTGCACTGCCAGGACAAGGGGAGTACAGGTCCTTGCACTGCCAGGATAAGGGGAGTACAGGTCCTTGCACTGCCAGGACAAGGGGAGTACAGGTCCTTGCACTGCCAGGATAAGGGGAGTAAGGGTGGCCAATATGGGGAGGAGAAGGGTATATGCTACGGGGTATAAACGGAACGAGTTCTAATAGTCCGGATCCAGACTTGGCGCATTTCTGCCAGGGATATAACTGTCTCTTATACACATCTAGATGTGTATAAGAGACAGGGATCCGTCTGTCCCTCGGAATTATGTGGCGTTTGGGGGTCGCCTTTTCCGGCGTGTGACGCACGCATACCTGCAGTAATATTTGGCACAGTTTGTTCAACGTCGTTCATTCAACGTCGGTAGATCCTCAAAGCGTAGTCCTCTTAGTCAAAAGAACTTGCTTATGAACATTTGCGACGTAGTTATCAAAAACGAGGTTATCAAATTTGTACACGAGCGTAAGTTGTAAACGGGCCGCATCAGCACACGTCCGCCTGCAGCCACAGCCGGCGCAAGAGTAATCACTGCTCTCTCTGACGACAGGTTATCTTGAACCTACTGAACAACGTGGGCAAGCTGTACCCCCAGGCCGTATACCTGCCCGTACGCACACTCTACCTCACTCTGCGCATTGAGCAGCGGGGCCGTTACAAGAGAGGTAATAGAAACCATATCTGATACTTGGTCCTTATAGAACCCTTTTATGTCTGAATTACTTATTGCGAGAGCTGGTCTCTTTTTCAATCATATCTGTATTAATTCTAAATTTTCTCCAATAAATTGATGATAGAGAGTGTAAGCACAAACAATAATGATTCACTCAATTGCTTCTTTTACTTACTCATTGCAATAGCATGACTGAAAAATCTGTTTAAGCTTCACTGTATGATCATATCATTTGTTTATTGTCTAAAATCGTGAATGAATTGTTAGTTTAAATTAACATTTTAAAGCGAAACTCTGGTGAACTAAAAGCAATATTCAAACTCACTATAGACAGAAATTTATGCCTAAAATGGCTTCCACGTCTGTTTCTGACTTTTTGTTCCTGTCTGAAATTAGATCCGCTCGGTGTGGCCCCACCACAACAGCCGCCAGGGCAGCAGCAGGGCAATCAACTGCAGCAGTCTGGCGAAACCATTCGTGCTACTGAGCCCATGCGTCATTGTTCTCGCATCCTGCAGATACAGCGAGACTATCACCCTACGGTACTGGTGTCTCTTGAGGGCATCGTTGATCAGGTAAGATGGAGCATGGCAGTCGTCATTTGCTTGGTAGGTGATTATACTGTATACATATCTATGTATGTTTAAACGTGCTCTGATTGGATTGTTATTCTAGCAGGGGAATTGTCAATTGAAACTCGTGAAATCTAAATTGTTCAATCCTCGTGTTTCGAGAACAACGCAAATTGGGGGCCTATCTTCCTCTCCGACCGGCATCTTTCCATGCTAATAGGATGTGTTCAACCTTAGCCCTTCGCATTCTAATTATCATCCTCTACACTAAAAATCTTTTTTGCGCATCTTTCAGTTGTTCAGCCTATTGGCTCTTGATTTCAGACCTATCGTTCCAACCGTAATTTTGTATGTGTTGCAGATGACTTGGTTCCGAGAAAACTGGTATGAAGAAGTGCTGCGCCAGTTGCGTCAGGCTCTTGCCAAGTGCTACTCAGTGGCTTTTGAGAACTCGGCAGCCGTGTCAGAAGCTGTCATCACTCCTCACACACAATCTTTCGTCAAGAAACTCGTGGCCACCTTCGGCTTGGGCATTGGTCAGTTTTTATTCGTCTTTAATGTAAAGTCTTATGCTTGCATGTCCTTGGTGTAACAATAGGGCCCTGTGATTTTGGCCAAGCAAGTGAAACACACTGATGTGATTCTTTATGCATGTATGTGGCCGGTTAGTAATCCTCTCAGACAATCTTTCTCAAGGTTAGATGCTCAAAATAAAAATTAAATGCAAAATGTGTTTTTTGTGCGTTTCCTTCCGATAAAACCTACCATTATCCCATTGTGAATAATGAATTGATTGATAATGATGAGAGTGAACTGAAGAGTAGAAACTGATGTGCTGGAAGTTGTGTCAGGAATTCTTTAATGCGATCAACATTATTAACTAATATTATTTAGTATAATATTTTAATATATTTATTAACTAATATTATATTTTAATATTTATATTAACTCATTCGCAACAATGACACAATTCTTGTCATTTAAGCCTGTAACAGAATGTTTTCATGTAAATGTAAGCAAGCTTGACGAATATAAAATTCATGGTATCGTCTATGGTGCAGAGAATCTGAACAGCTCAGGCGTGGGTGTGGCCAGCGGTGCGAGCAACAACAGCAGCGCCGCTACCCACCACACCAGCACAGGCTCAGAGTCTCTGGCTAGGCGAGCCCAGGCAACCGTACAAGACCCTGTCTTCCATAAACTCAAAGGGCAGTTTACTGCTGATTTCGACTTCGCCCAGCCTGGCTCTGTGAAGCTTCATCCTCTCATCCACAAGCTCAAAAAGTGGATTAAGATCCTCGAGGCTCGTGTGAAGCTTCTACCTAAGTAAGGCTCCTGTATCTACATTGCTTTAGATACAATGGTTCATATTTGCCCTTGTTTTGCTTTGTTTTAACTTTATTAATTTTATGAGATTATCCAATTTTTACGTTAGTAATTAGTTATAAATATGTGCCTGATTTTTAAGAAGTGTGTACTTTCTGATTACGTTTATATTTTTATCTTATAAAACTTTGCATAATTTATCATCTTGAAAAATCCTTGTAACTATTCCCACCGTATTTTACCGTAGTCACGAAGTTGTAACTATACTTTTTGCGAAGAAATATCTGAAGGAGCAACAGCATTCACTCCTTCAGTTCTAAGAAAGTTATGTCCCTTACAGATGGTTCTTGATCGAAGACAAGTGTAGGTTCTTGAGCAACTTCAGCGTGCAGACTGCAGAGGTGGAGCTGCCTGGCGAGTGCCTTTTGCCCAAGGTTCGTTCGGTTAGGCTCTATAATTCCTTCTACGTGCTTCTGGTAATGAGATGCTGATAGAAATTATGGAATTTTCAATTCAAGACCTGGGATAATGTATGGCTGACTTTGATGGAACTGATTTATCTGTAACATTGTATAGCAAGTTTTTGGACTCGGCCCCTGGCTGCTCATGTATTTAATAACAAAAGTAACTCAATACATTAGCGTTTTCAAGCATATTTAGTTTTCACCTATTTTAAATAAAGTTTATGGGGAAATTTTTGAAGTGATTTACAAACCTTCATTGCTATTATCGCCTATGGTATTGTGTATAAAAAGTATATAAATGTGTTTTATTTCGAAAATTTGGGATCCAGCAAATGTTTTGTCATTCTTGTTTATACTTTATTAATTAATAGGTTCATAAATATTTCTGAAGCTGCTTGAAAACTATTAATCCCATCAAAAAAGAATTAACATCATTCTTGTTCTTCAGCGAGGGAAATGAATGAGATCATTAGACATGAAATATAACCTTGCATTTTTCTTGTAGCTTAATTGCTGTGTATGAATATTCTTGACATTAATTAATTCGTGACATTTCGGGGAAGTCCAGAAGTTTACCGTTCAGTTTAAGAGTCGTCCCGGAAACTCTGGTTGCTTCAATTTTCGCAGTAAGATCTTAGAGTCACGTGTACATCTGCGTGACCTCTAAACCAGTTCTTTGACCTTGCGTTGCTGTTGTTTCTGCTCAGAACTCGCGCTACTACATCCGCATCGCGCGCTTCCTGCCGAGGGTTGACATCGTGCACAAGCACCAGTCAGCGCCCCGTCGCCTGCACATCAGAGGCCACAATGGGCGCGTCTATCCCTACCTCGTCGTCAGCGACTCCAGCCTCAGCGAGTCCCGCCGAGAGGAACGCATCCAGCAGCTCCTCAGGATGCTCAATGTCTTCTACACTAAACAAAAGGTTACCTTACAACACTTCAAATTTTAACTCTAGAATAAGTTTTCATAAAATTTAGAGAAATTCGTTAGAAGTTACAAATCGCTGCAACAAAATTCATTCTCCTTGCATTATATTGACAAAATCATTAAAAATTCAAAGCTCAATAATTATTTTATATTTTGTAAGAGATAAATTCTTCTACAAATTTACTCAATATTTTCATGTATTGTAGCGCCTGTTTCTTAGTTTCATCTTTGTGCATAGTCTTCTACTTCTTTGCGCTACATATAATCATCTTGTTTCAACAAGCATGAAATATTTTCCAAAATTAATTACTCTCGCATAAATTTAGTTTGAATCATAAATTCTAAAGTTTGCATTTCGTCATTCTCCCTCTGATTGCAGGAGCCAAGTCGCCGCTTCATTCACCTGTACGTGAGCCGGGTGGTGGCTTTCTCGCCCCAGAATCGCCTGGTGGAAGACAACCCCAGCTCCCTGAGTCTCATGGACATCTACAGGGAGCGATGTCAAGCCAAACACCTCGAGCCTGACACTCCCATCACGCGCTATTACCAGCGACTCGAGGGCGTGCAAGCCAAAGGCGTGCAAGCTTCACACCAGGTATACCACACTTTTTTAGTGAAGAACTTTTTTTTTTACAATGTCATTTCTCAATATTCTTTGCCAATAGAATAAACTACCCATAAAGCATCAAAAAAATTTCCATGTATAGAACCTCCCCTGGTCAAGACTATTCGGCAAACGCGCGAGTTTATAATTTTTTTGTTAAACCAGAGCATCATTGGCAATTGCCGAGAATATTATTTTTTTAATGTGGAATTTGTGCATTGAATGTAAGTGAGACTCGAGTTTCATACTTTAGAGTAACTGGTAAAGTGCTATGATTGCATAATTTCTAAATCCCGAAAACACGATTGAAGGATTTTTTTTCAGAAATTTACTCTAGATGAATTTTGAGGAGTTTTAATTCTAACGCTATTCTTATTTGTGCGGCAAAATTAATAAATGTTGACGAAGAAAAACAGAACGATTACGTCTGGGTCAATTTTCTAATGTTCAAATTTTAAGTTTAGTAAATGAATTGCATGTGTAATTTTGTGATTCTTATCTTACAAGCTGTAAAGATTAATTAGGTGCGAGTGAATGTTTATGCATTAATTCCTCTAGAGTGTTTGTGTATATTCGTCTTTCGTCTTCTATAAATGACAGTATGTTCCATGTTTAGTTCCGATTAATTATTAAATTATGATTTTTCTAAAGTGCATTAAGCGCACTAACTGAAACATTGTCATAACTGCTGCCCTAGAATAAACCTAAATGAACTTGAAAGCTAGCGCATTGCACGAGATATGCCACAGTCACGCTACCTGGACGCACGCTCTACCGCGATGAGACACTTAACTTGATATAAACTCTGTAAGTCTTTATTGCGCGGGGTATACTTAGCTTCACGCTTACTGCCGCATCGCAGGTACTACGCGACATCGTAAAGGAGGTACAGAGCGGGATGGTGCCGCGTACGATGCTCACTGAGTGGGCCATCGCGGCGTTCCCTAACGCCACCGACTACTGGACCTTCCGGAAGATGGTGACGGTGCAGCTTGGGGTGCTGGGTCTCATGGAATACGTGCTGCACTTGACACGCCTCTACCCGGACATGCTTTACCTCCACAGGGACTCAGGCCTTATCAATGTTGCTTACTTCAAGTTCAACGTGGATGATTCCAAAGGTAATCATTTCTGTCACTCTAACACTTTAATTGTTCTGGTATTTTTCTTTGGTTACAGATACTGACAGCCATCATGTCGTTGCTCTAAGTGCCCGGTGTAATTATTTTATTCACAATCATGATCCCATTGCATGGTAGAGGAATCAGATAATATGCCACCCAAAGAGAATTCAATGTTTTCTCCAATGCGATCATTTATGTTTTAAGTTCCCATCTTTTCTAATGAAAAATCATTCCTCACGAGTGCCATGTTAACCTCATGCTACAAAAGTTTCCAAGAAATCGTTTTTATGAAATACTAGTTTTACTACGTGTTTCGATTCTTTTGAAATAGAAGATGAATTACTTTCAGTGCTCTATGATATAACATTATATTAAGATTAATAACTCAATCCATTTTCATCACATTATTAACAGAATAAGGATGTTAATTTAATATCATAAGATGAAGGTGTTGTATGTTAACTGCGTTTGTATGCAAAAGGCGAGCTGGACGGCAGCAGAGCTGTGCCCTTCCGCCTGACCCCCAACCTGGCGACGCTATGCACGAGTGTGGGCGTCACGGGGCCGCTGTCGGCGTCCATGGTGGTGGCGGCGCGCTGCCTCTCCACGCCCTCCTTCAAACTGCAGGCGCTGCTTAGGGCCATCCTCAGGGATGAGATCATCACGTGGCACAAGGTTTGATGCTCTCATTTTGTACTGATTTTGTTCTCCCTGCCAGCATTGATGTCGGGAGGGCCTCCGTATCATTTTATTTTTGACGGAATTATGTTGTACAAAATTAGCTTCGAAGCTTATATCCTGAATGATTCCAGAAGATTAAGCCACTGAAGTTCGGGAATTTTTTTTTTTAGGGAAATTTTCAACCAATTACCTTTTCATTACAGCGACAAGAGGCGAGCGTGGAGGCGATGAATAACCCGAGCGGCAGCGTTGTTGCGGGCGGCGCAGCGCGCGGAGGGCCCATCGACTCGGAAGCGCTCGTTTCGCGCGTAAACAAAGCCGTGACCAGCATCCTGGCCCGCGTGCAGGCGCTCGCCATGCTTGACCAATCCGAGAGCAAGGTAACTTACTTTCACATCACCATTTTCTTTTAATAATTGACATTCAGGAATTAACACAAGTCTTCATTTCCAGAAATGTTTTTATAACTTATTTTTGTTTTACTGATTGACACGTCTATTTCTTACATTATACATAGAAAAAAAAGCTTTGTACTTTAAACTTATTTCGTGTTTAACTGACAGGAATTGACAACGTACAATATCTTCTGTCCCCTAATGCGTGTATTTCTTTCAGGCCACGCAGATGGTGCGCGCTGTTCTGTGCGTGGACAACCTGTGCCGTATGGACCCAGCCTGGCATCCATGGCTCTAAGTGGATCGATCATCTCCAGCCAACGGCTCCTTTGTGCATAACTTTTATACGTACCAACGCAAGCCGGATACCAAGTTATTTTAATATTTTTGCCAGAGTGCATTATTTATAGATAGTAGGTACTTCATGGTATTCTCACTTGTGATCTCTATATTGACATTGAAGTTATTTTTTTTAATCAGCCCGATGATGTAAATCATTTATGAAGTAAGAGGGGCTAAATGAAACTACGAATACCTTCTATTTTCATCTTAGAAAAGTACGATGTATATATTGGCTCTTTGTACAGTTGGGTGGCTGCTATAATTCGTATTGCTAATTGTATCTCGTGTGATTTCCAAAAATGAAACTAAGGAATCCCAAAATATGCGTTTCTATTTACTTCGCAGCAACACGTGGCGTTGATGGAGAAAGACTTTTCTCGTAGGCTTTTGAACAACCTTACTTATGCGAATCATGGTCGAATTTTGATTTAGATGTGCCTTTAATACTTGCATGTTGCGATAGTGATTGCTAAGTAATAATGTACTGGAACATAGCGGAGGTGTATGTTTGGTCTAAGAGACTCAATTTATGAATGTTAAAACTATCAAAGTATTAATTTCAAGTTTATTCAAGTGAACTTGGCGATCAATAAGAAGAAACAATCATAGAGTTTTCAGGTCTTTCTGACCGCAATTGAGTGGCTTCAGGGTTCCCATTTGGGGACGATGAGTCTAGGGTAAACTCTCATGACGACGTTGTAGTGCGTGCCGGCTTCTTCGAAGCCTCCGATGTGCCGCACCTCAGCGCGTGATATTTCAATAAGAGAAGGATTGGTTTTGCTTGGGTTCTGCTTCACGTATTCCAGCACGTCGTCTATCCTCAACTGTAACAAGAAATTGCGTTAAAACTCGTTTGATTCTAGGAACAATTCATTATTAGAGTGCCTACAAATAATCTTATTACAAGTGCTGTACGTTTCACTGGAACACTATTGGGCTCTTGCTGCTTGCACACATAGTAACGTAATTAATTATTCGTGCTATACTTGCTGCATTTGAGTCAACTTCTAAGTTTCTCTCAATTATTGATGCATAACATCGAAGAAATTCGTAATACTATTATGTTTTGCTCCGAAAACTCACCATATGACTTCGCTTTTCTAATTTTTCCCCATTGAGGCGGATTTTGTTGGCATATATCTCCTTCTCCGACTGACTGAAACATACAAGTAACATATTTACCAGATGGTCACTTCTCTCGGTGAGTGTACTCGAGAAAACTGAGACCACTTCACAGACTGAATCATGGTCCTAAAATCAAAATATGGAAAGAACTCGCGACGAAAGCGATAATAATGTTAGGGGAAAATTTTAAGAGACGTATACACCACGTTGCGGGTACAACGCGGCGCAAATTGGCATCACATATAGAGAACGCTTATTTTGATGTTGCTTCAACTTAATGTGGCCTCAAATATGGTTGTACAAAATGAGAGATCATGTGAAGGCTGCAATGCGCTCAGAAACTCTCACCCCTCATGAAGTGGGCACAGCCTAGCATGAGACGAACTTGCGTGACATGATCAATTATAGACTGATAGTTAACTCGCCCAATGTAAGATAGGCGTCTAAAGCAAACGACATATCCGACGTCGATAGCCGCCAACAACATGCGATATAATTCTGAAAAACAATCAGACCACACATGTCCAGGTGCTCTGCTATGTCTCTGACGACAATGGGGGTGAAATTTACAAGCTTGTATGCTGTAGTGCACACTCGTACCTGCGCGATATCTTGAAAGCTGCTTTGATGCAAGCATCAATTCTCAATGATGGCACTCTGTAGCGGCGGTCTGCAAAATCTAGGCCCTTCTCTAAGACAATTCCATCTTCTTCGTTGTCATCGGAATCCTGTTCAAAAAGCATACGTGCAAACATTCAAACTCGTTATATGGTCTTCAAAGTAGATTTTGCAAAAAGTTTATGGAACGATGGTCAAATTAAAAGGGCAGAAAATTGACATTGATGCAATATTGTCGTAGTAAATGAGAGCAAAAACATAACACCACTCAATTGGTACATCTTCAGCTTAACATATTTGAGCTCACAATATCTAGGTCGTCTGTAGTGGTGCGCTTTGACGATTTGTGCCGCAGCGCTGCCCAGCAAATCCCAGGAGCTCTGTTCAGAGTGAGCATCAAGGAAGAGACTGATGGTTGAGTTGCCCATTCGCTTATGAAAGGCGTCGTTTGACGTTTTGATGAGCTGCACCTGCTATAGTACAGATCATAATAGTAGTGCTCCACGACTAAGTTCAGCGCTATAGAAATTGCAAAATGTATTCTATACAACTTTATCTTATTCAGAAGCTGATATACTAGTTAGCCTTATTTTATATCAGGTGTATATTTATGACTGAAATAAAATTGAGCAGCCGTTTATGTAAGCTCTACAGACTGTAGTGCAGAGTGAAGTGATCTGTCTGTCATCGTGAGGAATGTGAGCCCTACAGACTGCAGTAGGGTGATGTGATCTGTCTGTCATCGTGAGGAATGTGAGCCCTACAGACTGCAGTAGGGTGATGTGATCTGTCTGTCATCGTGAAGAATGTGAACCCTACAGACTGAAGTAGGGTGATGTTATCTGTCTGTCATCGTGAGGAATGTAAGCCCTGCTGACTTGGGTGCAGGTTGATGTGTGATCTGTCTGTCGTCGGGCGCCAAGACATGATGATCAACACTTTGATATAATGGATATTAACTGTGTCAAAAATATTCTAAGGAATATTATTTATACACCAATTTCATTGAAGACCAGAGAATTCGTTTTATTGATAATTTTATTGTTAGTTTTTTTTAATATATCGAACACTTATTTTCATTTTCAATGATGAATTGAAAATCAGGTACATTTTTATTTTTTTAGCTTTGTGGACATTTTTATTTTTTTAACTTTGTGAATGTACACTGTTAGAAAAAACGGTCCCACTGGCGTTCTAGTGGCCGGTCGCCCAGTGAAAATAAACTGTTTCGCCGTTTTTATCAGACGTTTTACGGATTTCTAGTGTCAAATTATAATAAAAACGGCGACACGGTGTTTCTTTTCACGTGCCGACCGGCAACTGAAACGCCGGTAATACCGTTAACGGTAATTTTTCTAACACTGTATAAATCATTCATTATTAAGTTATAAGACGCACAGAGTGATGAAATTTGGATCGACATAAGCACAAAATGTAAATAGGATAATACTCAATCAATTTGGTTAAAAATGATTGCCAAATCACGAAAATATGAAGATGATCAAGAATAAAAGCACCAAAAATTACTCGGAAAACATCGCCTCTACAGAGGTTATATCTGCTTACCGCAATATAGTACTGGGTCTATAAAGCTTACGCCTATCGTCGGGAGTTACTCTCCGGGTTACCTCTACGGAAACGTTAAAAGCTACAAGGAAGGCAATCCGCTCAGACCCATTATTTCTCAAGGCGCGTCTCCTAGCCACTAAACAGCCAAAGAACTGGATAACATAATAAAATCATATATTTCAAAGCAATTCTCTGTGAAATCTAGAGATGACTTTTTGAAGATCTTCCATGCTACACGCCTATCTGGCCTTCTTGCGTCACTTGATGTCACCAGCCTATTCACCAACGTCCCAGCAGAAGAAACATTAGAAATCATTGCGAAGCACTATATTCTCATCCAACTTAGCCGTTCTCACAAATACCTAAGAAAATTCTTCTCGATATCCATCGAATTTGCACTTACGAATCACCTTATCGGACTCCCGACAACAAAATTTACAGACAAACCAAAAGCGTAGCCATGGGCAGTCCCCTTGGTCCTACTTTCGCTGAGTACTATATGTGCGAAATTGAAAATCGAGTACCTACTCTCCGACGAACAAATCGAATCTGAATTGTACTGCAGGTATGTCGATGAGATGATATCGTCGTTATCATTCCAAATGAAGAACAGATAAATCTACAAATGCCCTTTGAAATTATTTCTGAATTGAAGTTTACACACGAACTCGGATAAAATTGTACTTAGCCTTTTTAGACATATTCGTGCAAGTGAAAAATAATTCGTCCGTCACCAAACTATTGCGGAAACTAACAGATGTCCGGCTAGTCCTGAACGCCGCGAGCGACTATAGAGCCCTTCAAAAGAAGCACAATACGTGTTCTTATGCAGCGAGTTCTCAAAACCTGCTCATCTGAAAATGACTTAGATACGGAGCTGAAAAATTGCAAAAGAATCTTTGTCAATAATGGGTTTGCCAATAGAATGATCGACACAGAAATCTCAAAACTTCAATTGAACCAAAAGAGAATCAACAACGAACCAGAGACTAACACAAACGTCACAACCATCTTCTACGAGAATCAAATGACCAGCGGTTATATATATAAAGCATATGAACGGATGCTTCAATCCATCATTCACAACATCGTAAGCGTAAATAATAATAAAATTAAACTACTTATCAATTATCAAAAGAAGAAAATACAGAATCTTGTAACCCCTGCAAAAAATTGGGGTGTTCCAAGATACCAATGTAGTATATAAATTATAATGCAATAGAGAAGGTTGTAGAATGTAGACTTCTCACTAATATGGACTTGTACATTGGGCTCACAACTACGACATAAAACAGACGTCTCACGTGCCACCTCCAGTCTCGAGGACCAAGGAACCACATGATGGAGGCCCACAAAGAGACCATCAACCGTACGGTGCTGAAGGATTGCACCAGCGTCGTCTTGCGATGCCCCAACCCCAACTGCTCGCTATAGCTGAGGTCCTCATCATTAAGGATGGGACTCCAGCTATCAACCTACAAACTACTGGATTTGTCAGAGCCTCCAGACTGTTTTGGAGTAATTTTTTGGTGCTTCTCTATTATCTGAATATTTTCGATTCTTGGCAATTATTTCTAACCAAATTGATTTGTCAGTAGTATCCAACTTACATGATTTTGCACTTATGTCGATCCAAATTTCATCGCTCAATGCGTCCTGTAATTGGAAAATTAATTATTGATGCACTTGAAACATTGTTAAAGAAACAAAAATGTCAAAAACTAATAACAATTGTGGTTCCAGGTTTCTTATAAAAAAACAGGGAAACAAGAAGTTTGCTAATCACAGAAATTGCAAGTTGTAATGAATTGCCAATAGTCAACCGAACTGAGAAGATATGGAGCAATCCAAGCAAACTAACAGCCCTCTAAGTTAATTATTATAGTTAATTGATTACTACTACCTATTCACTTTTTAGGCATAATACAGGGTGAGAGGGTGACCCAAAAAAAAGTTGGTAAAAGTAAAGGCTTATAACTCGAAAAGTATTAAATGTAGAAAGATGAAATAAAAACCACATGAAAAAGTATAACTTCAAGTTTTATTCAGATTACAATACATGTTCAAAATGACCTCCTTGCTGTTGAACACACAGCTCAATATGCTTTTCAAAATTTGTGGTTACTGCAGACAAGGTATCCTGGTCAATAAGTGTGAAAGCTTCATGAATTGCCATCTTCAGATTGTCAATGCTGCTTGGTTTTGTACTGAATACTTTTTCTTTCACGTAACTTCATAGGAAGAAATCCAAAGGCAAACTGTCAGGGGACCTAGACGGCCATGGAAAGTCTGTAAGATGCGATATAACCTCATTTCCAAATCAGGATTTTAACCAATCTCTAGCAATTACCAAAGTATGTGCAGTGGCGCCGTCTTGCTGGAACCAGATATCTGGAGTGATATCAACATCCATTACAGTTTCTAGCACTCCAAGATAAGTTTCAGTGGTGACGGTGCAAGCATTATTAACCACGATTACCTTATTGGTCTTGCACTTATTGACCAGGATACCTTGTCTGCAGTAACCGCAAATTTTGAAAAACGTATTGAGCTGTGTATTCAACAGCACAGAGGTCATTTTGAACATTTATTGTAATCTGAATAAAACTCAAAGTTATACTCTTTCATGTGTTTTTTATTTCATCTTTCTACATTTAACACTTTTTGAGTTATAAGCCTTTACTTTTACCAACTTTTTTGCATCACCCTGTATAATAATTTGTTTTCCTCCATATGGTGTTACAGCATTTTGTAGCAAAAAAAGATTTTATCCAAGTATAAATTTTTGATAAAATAAAAATTAAATTTCTCCACTGATCAATTCACTAACAAAAATGGGAACATATTAATGATATGATTCATCTTCAATGTAAATAGATGGATTAAATTCCATCCTATGTATTAATTCTTACCTTGATGATAGGCAGCCAAAAAACTTGACATCTGTACAATTATGGAATAATGAAGTTGCTCTTACTAGTTTAGAATTGCAATAATAGAGAACTGTACGAGTAGCCATTGTGAGTTGATTGATGCAGGAACTAGATGGTCACACAAAAAATCCTGTGATGCTTTATTTGATATTTTCCTGCAGACCTGCACACATCAGTCCAGTAACTTTTATACTCAACACAATTAAGAGACACTCCTATCACTAGTAGTGTAGTACTTATATTTATATCCACGGGGAAATCAATATTGAAAATTTTACCAATAAATTGTGCTGCTCTCACCACTTTGCACAAGCACTAATAATGTAGCCAAAGAATATTTTCATTGGTAAATATTCCTCCCTCTTCTTGATTCAGTTAAAAAATCACCAGAAATACAAAACTCATTAATGGGTAAGACAGGATCACAGCCTTCATGGGTAAACCAAAGGACCGGCCCATGGCATGCATTCGAATTGCACTGAATTTAATTTGATGGAAGAATATGTTAGAGCAATCATTGCATGTCATTTCAGTGTTTGTTTCAACCCTGTTCTGCCAATGATGCATTTTTGGTTACTTTTTGAAGAAAACCTATGTAAAGAAGGGTCACAAAATAGTTAACCCTATTTGGGAAAAAAGCTCTGTCTGATTACAAAAAATGTGTTGGCCATATTTGTGGATGTAGGCATGTAACCTCAAGTAACATGCAACTTTTGAGACATACTAGACATTCCTACCTGTTACCATCACTGCCTGACACCTATTCTAAAATGGGGTAAAAAAGGGCTGGACATGGGGTAAGATGGGTCCACTAAATGATCCTGTTTTACTCACAAGTGGTCCTATCTTTAGACACAAGTGGTCCTATCTTACCCTACAAATGGTCCTGTCTTACCCCACAAATGGTCTCCTATCTTACCCCATAGTTTATCAAAAATAGCTTTTAAATGAATATATTATTGTGCATAAGTATACATGGAGTATTTTGATCAAAATTTTTATCTTGGCTCAAATAACCTGCTAACTTGTTAGCTTTTTTAATTAGAAAAATTTAGCATACTAGGTATTGTAAATTGCATTAAGGGGATGGACAAAATAGGGATGTCTTTTGCCATTAGTGAGCTGCAGAACTACGTGCAAGAGTGATTGTTTTCCCAACATCAAGGATGTTGGAAAAACACAAAAATTCCTTTGAAAAATTCAATCTCAATTCTCAAATAAGGCATTTTTGGTAAAATACTAGAGTTTCTTGCAAGTTTCTCCAACTTCTTGTTGTTTCTAGCAAAAGTAATTTATAAAATGATTAACAATGCCAGCTATATAATATGATCCATATTTTACACTCAAAAGATTAAATGGATCATACAGTCACGTTTAATGTTAGGATCTTGTATGACCATGTGGACTGAAATGTTGCCTTACATTTTTTCAATATATAATTTTCAATGTTACATACTCATCTATATACTACTTAGTGACCATAATCACAAGAAATTATAAGAAAAATTTGTTGTAAGAGCTTAAAAAAATGTGATTGTTAAAAAGTTAACAAAGTTTTCTCGTGGCAAAAACTAATGTGACATATTAGAGTTGCCTTCCTGCAACACAAAACAGTAACAAGTCGTTGTTTAATCAAATAATGTGTTTCTAAATGGATCATCATAATATATTAATATTGAATATCGGGTTTGTAATTTTACTAAAAACCTTGTAACATAAGAATTACCAGTTGGTCCTGTCTTACCCCAATGGAGTAGGGTAAATGCGGTATATTCCCTCACATTAAGGACGCATCAAGAAATGAAAAACTATAAAAAAATAACCGTATGCATTACTCAAGTTCTGTTTGCTTTAGGTGACTCTCAAAACACCGTACTACGCGTCGGCAATGATGAAACGTCACAAAATGTTGCCATATTTATGTAAAAGCCTTTAAAATGCAAACCTACCAAATCCCTATATTCTGTCACTGTGTGTGGCAATATTAGGCACGTGGTGAGGCGTATTCCGTCCGCGCTTCAAATTCTACTGATACGTAATGCCGTCATCCACGTGTTCGAATTCCGTTTGCTGTGTGAGCTGTATCGGAATACAACACGGCTTTGAATTAGAACACTAATGAATATTGAACACTACTTAATTATGCTTTTAATTAACAACTATTAAGCTTTTAATTAAGCAAATTTTAATTTTTGTACAAAGCTTGGAACGATCTGTGTGTGTCCAATTCATATTGTGACGGAATTAGTTTTCATGTGTCTAAATCCATTTCTCAACTTAATCATCTATTAATTTATTTACCACTTGAAATCAGCGAATACAAGTATACTTAAAGGATTCCTAATATATTCACAGACGTATTTAAAAGTCTCAAACCATAATATTCTTCCTATAAAAACAGTTATTCACTATTTGGTACAGCAAAGTCAACTGTCAAATTTGACACATTTTTCGATGATGTCACTGGGTAGCCGGTAGCGTGCATTGTCTCTCTTTGGATCTCAATATTTTCCCACTAGATGGCCAAGACCTAGTGTTTTGGCAGTAGTTTGACGCACAAATGTATGAGGTCATCATTTCAACCATCAACAAACGCATGGAACTAAAACAAAGCTTAATATAAAGGAAAAGCTAGAGAGGTGACGGAATTACCCACGATGACGGAATATACCGCGTTTACCCTAAGATGGGACCAACTCACTTTTTTTAATCTGTACTGTACAGAAAAATATGTTAGATGCAAAACATACAAGTTGTAGCTTAGAAGCCCATTGCATAAATACACCTTGTGATAGGTTAAGGGTTTTTTAGTTATTCACGGTATAGATACGAAATGCTTGTTAGTGATTTTGGTCCTGTCTTACCCCATCTGACTATAATACAAGTAGTAAGCAAAAACATTATCAAAGCTCTTCAGGGATGTATAGGTCAATTCACCTACAAGTCTGGAGACTTGTAGTCATAAACTTGCTACAGGACAAGTTGACAGCAGACCAAGTCAGGCAAGTGTGAAGTATCCAACACATAACAGGTTTCATTCCGTTTTGGGAGCGCTGCCGTAGCCCAAAAATTTGACTCTTAAATCAGCCCAAGAGTGAAGAGCCCACACTCAGGATGATGTATGTTTTCGGTGAATTTTCCCGCGCATTTCCACTTTTTTTTAAGCTATTGCTGTGCACAGTTGGCGCAATGTAATGAAAATTGATCATCTTCGCGCACGTGTTCGCGCAATCTTGGCCATCTTTATTTTAGAAGAAATTTTCTCCAAAGTCATATGGCAACACTGAACACTGTCTGTTTACATTTCGTATGTATAACAGCCGCAGTTTACGATTACCGTACGTTCCGTATCAGACAAGGCAGACAACCGGAAGAGTCAGAAGTAACCCGGACATGTCTTACATTTTATTATTGTCAGTTCGACTTGCGTAGTCAATATACTCGCATATATTGTCGACTAAAATAGTAGAACTATTTTAGCTTTCTAAAGTATGGCGCACGGCGCATTTTTTACCAACGTAGTACGGCGCACCGCGCAGGTCGTTAAAATGACAAAATAAATTCCCGCGCACCTGGCACATCTTCCTGACCATGGTGAAGAGCCAATGGCAACCCTCTACATGCAATAGAAATAGTCAGCCTCACACATATGCAGCTGTTCTTACTTGCCTCATCTCACCACACTAGCTTGCAACAAGCAATGCCTCAGCCCACAAGCTGATACTCCAAACAGATTACGCCCAATGCCAATAGCTCCTACACCAATGATTTAAGCCCATACCATCACTTCTTACAAAGGCCGTAAGCCACAAGATCCGCAGACCGCACCAGACTGCCGTAAATGGCAACGGCCCCGCACCTGACTGTCACATCACCTTACCCACTTCGCAGGCGTAAGCCCAGCCCTGACGCTCACCAGTCACCAGCATCTTCTTCCTCCACACTTACCCCCTTCTCTCCAGTCTCCACCTTTCCACGAAAGGGTTAGGTTTGGTTAGGTTAGGTTAGAATTCTTCCGCAAGCTGGTACCGAAAGGAGGGGGGAGCATGGGGTAAGCGTGGAGGTTTAGCCTCCAGAAGAACGGACAGGCTGGAACGGTAGCACTGTAGCAGTGTACTGATAGCACTGTGGCGCAGGGCGCTCTTTATCGAAAGTGGGGAAGGGGGCCAAGGGGCTAGGGCATAGTGGCAAAGCAGAGAGTTTTTTAGACTCTCCCTCAAGTTCATTTTTGGGTATTATTGCAGATTAACTACATCCAAAAAAAAGGGTGTTTTTTTTTTTAATTATATGTTTTTTGGGATGTAGATTACGAATCTGAAATCCATTTTTGGCGGTCGGCATCGGAAAACCAATTTTTTTCGCGACTTACTAACATGGGGGTTACGTAACTTACGTTACCCACTCACCTTTATTTACTAACATGGGGGTTACGTAACTTATAAAAAATCGGTTTTCCGATGCCGACCGCCAAAAATGGATTTCAGATTCGTAATTTACCCCCCAAAAAACATATAATTAAAAAAAACACCCTTTTTTTTGGATGTAGTTAATCTGCAATAATACCCATTTTTGAGTCCTATAAGTTGACCAGTAAAGTATCCTGGATACCAGCATCATCATACATAAGAAATAGGTTTAAATCTTGGGTAAATGAGGAAATTAAAATTGAACTGATTCTAAAAAATCTCTGGTTTGTCACTATGGGCTAGGGTGCATGGAATAGAAATATTTTGGGGTTTAGCGTGTGGGTTACGACCATTGTTTTGGCGGCTTGCAGCTCATTGGCTTGCTGATTTTTATCCATGAAGGGATTTAGTCCCTGCAGCTTTCAGCAAGTAATCATGTTGGTTAATTTGCTCTGCAGCATGCTTGCGCACGGAGTGAAGTATGAAAATTATGCTGGTATTGGGCAATGCTGGGCTATTTCAGTTGTCCCTCCGTTTCAACAACCAGATAATAAAAGCGGATATTGCGTTTCCATTACCTACACAGGCTAACACTGTTTACACATAGCCTTTCTTTTACTTCAAATTGGAGTTTAATGGGAGCTCTGAAGAATAGTGAAGATGCATGCATCGGTCCATGCAGCCCCAAAACTGGAACGTCTGGAAGTAGTAGCGTGGCGCCAGGCCCCAGACTCCAGGGGCATGTCACATGTGCATCACGACCCATAGGCACCCGTCATGGGCACAAACCGGCTCACCTACTCGATCCGTGCTAGCGGATTACACAAGTCAAACGGGTGTCGGGTTTACTGCAAAACCACTACACAAAAGGTGGTACTGGTAAGATTTTCTGCATTTCAACAATTTCTTTGCTTACCGTAAGCCGTAAGGTGTTATAATAATAATAATATAATAATAGCGGTTTCAGCGTTTATTAGGCCGTGGGCCTAATAAACGCTGTTAGCGTTTATAATATAACCTAATAGGCCGTTATGTAAGCAGTAGAGTCCTTTTTACTGAGAATATTAACTACACCCCCTCCTAGATTTACTTTTTTATTCAATATACACCTGCTGCCAATTATACAATTTATGAATCACAGTTCACCGCTCCCAAACTTATTATACTAACATAAACATAATTCCAATAAATTTGACTCAATTATAAATAGGTTAATAAGTTCTGTTAGACAAATTAAAACTTCGAAACTTGCTTTTCTGACAGGTGACAGCCGATAGCATAAAAAAAATACAGAACACTGTTTACGAGCAATGTATTTAGAACTTTCGTAGTCCACAATGGAAATACAAAAAGCTATAAACGCAATTGGAAGCATCAGTCAAAGTGGAAAATTCTGCAACGCTTTCGCATTTCCCAGCAAGGAAATCAATTGAATTACAATTAATGGCGGCAAAATGAAATGGTTATTAACCGGGAAACAAAGAAATTTTTACTGACCGAGAACATTAGAACCAGAAAAGACAATCAAAACACTAAAGCTAAGCATTCACAACAATTCTCCAAAAGCAGGCAATTGGATAACTCAATTAATCAGCACTTAAGTGAAGTAAAAAACTCTTAATAAAACAGGTTATTCTTCATCAGCCTACTTTCTGCGTTGGCATCCTTTGTCCGTTAATCGCTATTCGAAAATAAGCAACCTATAATCACACACAGCGGTACAAAAATTCTTCCAGATATTCAATCATTTTAACCTAATCCATGCATAAGTAATAAAAATATATATATTACCAGACAATTATTATCATTTGTTTCGGAATAGAATGTTGTCAGTGGACATGGTAGAGAGAACCCGATCAATATTTCAGAAATTACGAAAAATTTCAAATATTCATCCTTTGCTATTAAATGACTATGATATATTAAATGGAAATATTCAAGTGATTTGACACATTTGATTGAATTATACAAGAAAGAGCAACGATCAACATCATGACACACAGCGGGCATCCAAATACGCATTACAAATGCACCCAAAGGTGGTAGCAGATGTTCCCACGAAGAGTCCAGTCCCGAGTCCAGGATAAACTTTCGCCACTAAACGAGAACGCTTAAGATGACTTACCTTAATCACAATCAAATCTTAAATTACTTTGAACATAATTAAAATAGAGAGGACAATCTGGTAAAAATCACATGAACCAAGACTAGACATGAGTAATGACTAAACAATGAGATCTTATGTCTTTAGTGTAAACTTACCAATAAATTCAAAATATTCTTACACGAGTTTGGCAGTGGCCTTAAAGCTATACATAAAAGATCCTTTGGTAGGTTCAAAATGAGTATTAAGTAGCTACAAACTTACATTATTTCTAATCTGGAATAGAATTACGAAGTATTTCGAGCTACAGGTAACAGAAACACGAATACGACGGTGGTATTTTACAAGCCGAGACACGAATGTTACGAATATTGTCTTGAAAAGCAGCTTCAAATGCAAAGACTGAGGTAAACATATAAACGAGGTCACATCAAGTCAGGAACGTATTACTAACCATTTATTAAAGATATGAGCGATCAATCAGAAGCTGCACTACATGTTTGCTCAACGCTTCACTCTCCTGTGTAATACTTAGTTTAAAAACTTTATTCATAAAGAAGAATAAAAGACAGAATCGAGAAAAACTGCCTCTTCTTCACTTGGATTTATCTTCAAACGTTGGCTTGAAGAGCTGCTTGGACCAGTCCAGACCATCGTAGGGTATGGTTGAGGGAACCAGAGGGAACAACCACGTCAGGTACCAGCGCCTCCCAAGTACCACCTGAAATAGAGAGCGAAGTCTTGACTACAAATAAGGCCGGAGAAATTGCCTGAATATTCCTACAATGTATTGAAAAAAAGTACAAAAGCAACAGTCGGTGCACATAGGCACATGGCATTGGTGGATAGACTTCAAAAGTATCGAAGGATATTAATTACAAGCACGCTTGAAAAATATGTGAGAATAAGGACTCGTTTTTTGACGCTGCATCAAGGGTACGCAGATTCGTGGCAAATAAAAATTTATCACAGAATGTGATGACAGGCAAACGGTCTGAATATATTATATACATTTCTTCATTGGACCAACCGCAGTATCAGAATCTGTGAGGTATTTAAGAAATAGTACGTAATTGGAAAGCGTTCTGAATGACGTAACGGATCATTGGCTTGCTTAATGCACATCCTTCATCTCATCATTGACAGCAGAGATTAATACTAAAAATGTACACTCAATCAAAACTTCAAAAGTGATTAACGTAACTTAAAATCACAAAAATCCTTCTAGCGGGATGAAATCCCGAACATACAGTAGTAAGAAAGAAAGTCGGATAGCTGTCAATCTTTTGGATCATTATTTCCTAACTTAAACCATCTAAACCGTAATTTATTCAAAAATGGCCACGACAACTAGACTTCGGAAATTATTAATTTCATGACCCAGAAATGGAATAAAGAAGATAGAAGACGTAACTAAAAGATGAGAGCAGACATGCACCTGGATGTTGTGGAGCGTGCCCTTGTCGTACGAGATGGCACTGTTCTCTGAGCGCTCGCGTGTGGTGGTGTTGGTGAGGAGCTGACGTGTGTAGTAGTAGAGCAGCACGGACAAGAACAAGCAGCCTATGACGTTCAGGGAGAAGAGGAAGCCGTAGAGCGTCTCCACTGAAGGGTTCACTATGAGCCACAGGCCAGGCAGCACCACGCGCACGCTCGTCCACGCGATGCTGTCCTCCTCTACCAGACAAGAAATTTTTACAGCTCTACAAGGCCACAAATTTTGACGAATAAACATAACATGTTGCGGCAAAGCTTTGAAACAAAGTCTAGTTCGAAATCATGCGCGATTTTGTTCAAAGTAATATTTCTTTCCATGTCGAGGCCGACAAAACTATAAAGATGAACAGACAAAAATCTTCAAATTTCCCATGTATTTTGTATAAAAAGTAAGGAACTAGCGCACAAGACTCGAATATTTATAATACTGTGTGAAGCGTAATTTTAGGTTGTATTGACAGCATTTACATTGTGAATTGCAATTAAAGTTCGGAGCGCGGATAAAGCGAGCTGTGTACAGGAGAAATTGGTTAGCGAACATGACGAATTTGTTTACATCCAACAGCGGCAAACTTATTGAGAGGTCAGCGGCGGCTGCGTAGGGCGCAGGGTAAGCAGCGCGCGGCGGCTGCGTAGGGCGCAGGGTATGGGTAAGCAGCGCGCGGCGGCTGCGTATGACACAGGGTAAGCAGCGCGCGGCGGCTGCGTAGGGCGCAGGGTAAGCAGCGCGCGGCGGCTGCGTATGTAAGTATCCGAAATTTGCACCGGGTGTTGTCCACCTGAAGTCAATATCACGCTATCACAATGTGGAATTTTGTAGGCGTGAATTGCTATTCCGTAAATAATGGAATTAGCAAAGGAGGTGCAATGGCCGGAAGAAATTTTAGGTCGTATATAAAACTATGACTAATGACTAAAACAGCAAAATCTGTGTTATCAGCAACAGGGGTACGGCACAGGGCCGAGAAAAATATACAAGTGCAGGTCAATACCTAAAACCGCTATTGCAAAGGATGGCCGTTATTAAATCAAGAGCCAAGACAACTGAGAAGCAAAATTAGAAGCGGCGAGATAGAACTACAACCGTGGAGAAGATGACCGATCTATTTCGGGCGCCGGCTGCGATGACACGATGCTATGGTCGCTATAAGGCCACTTGGAACAATACGGCAGAGGGCTTTCGTGACAGCTACAGCCGTGATAGCTACGGCCCCCGTACTGATCTATGAAATAACGTCATACAGTAAAGAAGGAAAGTTTGCACAGGGATCAGACAACTTTACCAAGAATGTAAAATTGGAAATTAATTTGCGAGTCCTTGTGTTTTGAATCAGTAATTATGTTCGGTTTTGGATGTGCCGTGATTTTTCCCGCCAGTGCAATTTCAAATGTAAAAGAGTTTCACTCTAAACCTCTTTTATTCTAGTTACAGAACTAGTACGTAACTTTTTAAAGAACCTTTTGTATAACGCGCTTCACTCGAGCATCTCGGCCAAGCAAACACTACGTAATTCAATAATTAATTTGATGACGAGCAAGGAATTCCTAATGAAGAGACAAATAAAAATGAATAAAAATGGAATTATTCCAATTTGAAGCTATATTGACCAGCTCCTTCCATCTTACTGACCTATGTAGGGCGATATGAAGAAGGCATTGACTACAGAGCAATATAGCGTGGAGAGCCACATGTAGACGAGGAAGCAGAAGAAGTATCGGTGGTTGTAGAGGCCGATGCAGCAGCCAGTGAAGATGCAGTGATGCTCGCGCTTGAGGATACAGCAGCCACAGGACCCACAGTGACGGGCTCTTGGAGGCGCCACGTTCTCACAAGGAGCGCACACATGCCAGCCTTTAGGCACCTGCCACACCAACAATTATACATAATTATTTGATTGCACTCTACTATGCTAAGTTAATTATAGAAATTTAATCTACAAATAATTGTATCTTGATCATTTAGAAAAATAAATTATTCAAAGTTTACAAATAAATAGACAAGCAAAATATCTGAACATAGAAAATTTTTAATTACAGTGTACCGGTATATAGGTATATGATAAAATAATTGTTTATAACAAAAATAACATTAGGAAGAAACTAATATTTTTTGTATAAAATCTAAATATTATTGCCTATCACTTCACTGCAAAACTGATTCATTTAGTAAGGGGTTAAAGCAGGAGAATTAAGATCTCAACTGAAGTTTAAGTTATAAAGATGTGCAATTAAAACGTACCTAATGCTTATATTCATAAGTGAGAGAGAACAGAGAGCTGTAAGGCAGTTGGCCATGGTAAGATATTTAATGAGTTAGAACAGTGAGCAGCATGGTGGTTGCCTTCTCAATTTCAAGTTCCTCCAGAGTTAAAATTACTAATTGAAGAAACAATTTCCCATTGAAATGAATAAAAATGCTTTATTATGCTTGTTAGATACAATCAAGAGATTCACACTCATAAAGGTTGCCATTTTGCAATCTTAATGAGTTTAATGTCATACAATCCTGTATTAGAGTAAACATTTGGATGCTAGTTTTTCTTGCATCACACCAAAACCTGGTCATGAGAACTGGCATCAAGATTGCCTGATTCTTGCTATGAGTATTGCTCTAATCATCTAATGAAATGAGCCTGAAGTGACCAGCTTTTATCAACATTACATTTTTGGTCTGCATACCGTACTGTCCTGCAATTCCTTATTCCAAACATAAAATTCATAAAATATTTATTATTATTAAGGAAACAATGAATTGTTAGACAACAAGTACTTTAAAATTTTAAGAAAAATATCAATAAATTCACTACACATTGGAATAATGACATGAAATAGATAACTAATTTCATCACATACTGTGGCTGGCATGATGTGTCCTTTGGTTGAGGTGTCAATCAACATGATCACCACAAAATTAGTGATGATATTGAGCAGCACAAATGTGCCCAAGCAGATATGGAACTTGTGGAAAAAGCTGTTGAACACTCGTGGCATCACAACAAATACCTGTCAATTACAAGAAGGTTAATTTTTGGTTAACAGGGCTAGTGTCAAAGAATAAGGAATTAAGGATCATTAATCTTCCATTTTGTTTGACAAGATATTCACTAACAAAGCTTTAATTGAGGACAGTTATTCAGAGGACAGTTCTGTTCTTCCATGAACAGAAAAAATATCAGAAAAATTTTAAAAGCAAATTTTTTAACAATAGAGAGGACAACATTATTAGACATTGATCATTGCAGGAAAGTCATTAATATTTCCCTATAATTTTTTTACCAATACTTGAGAACTCACCTCAAACCAATAAACAATTGGGATGGCAACAGAGAGTAAAGTGCAGGCAGCAGCATCTGTGAATGTACGAGGGACAATGAGGCGCAGGCTGCGCCAACGTAAACCTAACAACGGCATTAGGAGTTGATGTTGTGCTTATTGACTTGAATGAAGGATTTAATTGTATACCTACTAGTATTGAGAACAGAATTGGAATACTCACACCACTGCAAAATAGAGAAATAATTGAAATACAGATTCAAATTTTTATACATACATATATTCAGTTATTATTCACTACACATCAAATGTAAGCAGGTTCAGGTGATGAATGGCTATTCAGGAAGATCAGAAACTAATATGCAGAAATAAGTAGAATATATAAAGTTATTGATGTTTTAGAGAGCATGAATCTCATGATAAGTCCATTGTTCTGTTACTTCATTACATAGGTACAGCATGGAGAAAATCATATAAACTGCCACCATGCAGAGTTTGGTAATTGTGTCAAACCAGGATTGGAATTTTCCTTATAAAAATGAAATTCCTCACCTTCAAAGTGACAAATTTCCAGTACATTTGGAATCTTGCGGCCTGATCTTTTACTTTTAGAAACAATTAGAGAAGAGGTACCGTAAGTCATCCAGCAGGAATATTGGGGCTCTGATAATGAAAGAAGGATAATGAAAGAAAGCTCTAGGTTCAAAGGTAATTGGTAAGAAGGTAAATTGTTGTAGAACTGGTTTGATGCGATTTATAAGATTCTTCATTGACATAGGTTTTATTAGGGTATTCATCAATATCATCATTATCAGCACTATTTCATTGACTGATTGACATGTGGTAATAACACATTAACAGACTGTAAAGAGTCCAAGTCAGAATAGTCACCATAGCCTAGTGCCAAAGCTGGAAAAGTCCTATTTTTTCTGAAATATCACACTCTAATATCGTATAATTTCAGTAGGTGTGAAATTTCGTGGCTCTAACATCATGTATTTTTGTTTGATTGAAAAAAATAGCGGTTTGCAATTTGCAAACATGTCGTTTCAACATCAAAATGTTTCCTTGAAGATAATGTAGTTGCGGTTACATGAGAGTGGTCAGATTGCAATATCATGCGTTCAGTTACCACTTAAGAGAAGACAAATGTTATTGATGCCGTTTGATGACTGTTTTTAGGGTAAAAGTATAGATTTAGGGTACCACATGCACGGGACTTTGAAAATAGGTTTGCGGCTTGTAAATGGCTTTTCATGGCTGAAATATGGAAGTCATGGCTGGAAGAAATGGAATCACAGCTGGCAAACCCATAAAACCACAGCTTGAAAAATCCAGTTGTGGCTTGCCAAGTTGATATATTTCATGCCTGCCTAGGGCTGATTGGGGCATGAGCTCTCAAATCCCTCAGACTTGGTATGATTAGAGTTGGTTGCAGAATGACCTAAAACTGTAAAACATAGAGACAAACCAGAGATTTTTTAGATTCAGTTAATTTTTCTTTTATTCATTACTCAAGATTTAAACAAATTATCTAGGTATGATAATCAGATAATGCTGGTATCCATGATACTTTACTGGTCTACTAACTCTTCTTATAGGACTCAATAATATAAGTTAAAAAAATACTTTTTAAACACAAGACATCTAAAGAATCCAGTGTATATGATGTTACACATGTACAATGAATTTCTAATTTTATTTTCAAATATTAAAAAAAATTTAATTTTCATTTTTTTAATATCTAAAAATTTTGTAAATTTTCAAAATTATTTATTCTGTCAACTGATTCAAGCTGCAAACATTGCCTCTGAGTCTCTGACTTTATGCAAGTGTGCAAAATTTCAGATCGATTGGACAGGTAGATGGTAGAAGTGTGTCAAATATGGATTACAGCAATCCCTTGATTGACGCAGTTAATAAATCCCCGAGTTTTAACGTGATAAGCAAAACCGCGCTAATCAAACTTAAGAATATATGGGAATAATTATAATGAATCCTCAAAAATACCAAAGTTACATAATAATTTTTTTTTCACTAAAATACATCATATTTTTTTCTAAATAATAATTTTTTTTTCTAAATTTCAAGCTTAGTCTCCAAAATGATATTTTTACGTTTAAGAGTTCCCTTTTTGTCCATAATTATGATGGTAATTTATCAAGGAAAATTATGTAGTTTGATAAAAATGAGCAGTAGATATGGCAGCGATCTTGACCAGTTGAAGGCTAACAAGCAACTAGAGCACCGGAATGGCGCACTTACAGGCGAACGTTGCCGAACTCGACCATTTGAGTTATGAACGAGACAAGGCGCAGTTAAACCGACTCTGTAGTCAGCACGAGTGCCTACGGAACATGACCTTATTTAAAGAATTATTGGCTGAAATTCATAAAGTAACAACATTTGGCAAATTTTTCCAAAAGTTGTAACAAAAGTAACAACATAAGATCTAATAAGCAAAAAGTAACACTTTTGTTACGAACGTAACACCTCTGGCTAGAGGCGGGAAAATGATGCGTTGTGAAAAAAAAGTCACACTAATCAAAACTGGCACCGGCCGCACCGCATAGATTATGGGTAGGTCACAAATTTTTTTTCCGCCTTAATCAAAACCGCGGTATTCAAAACTGTGCTACTCAAGGGATTGCTGTATATGATTTTTAGCAGACAAAAATTATTTTTAATTTTTTTAATCTTGAAAATAAATTTAACAAAATTTTTTTACTTATCCAAAATTATTTATTCTGTCAGAGTGTCAATTGCTTCATGCATTGTCTCCAACTTAATGCAAGTGTGCAAAATTTCAGATCAATTGGACAGGTAGAACTACAGGTAGAAGTGTGTTAGATATTGATAAGATTTGTAATTTTGTTTTGTTACTTTTGTAGCAGACAGACAAACAAACAAGAAGTGAAGTTAAAAAGAAGTGTTGTAAAAATTAACTTGAGGACAAGTTTAAAAAACTCTCTGTTTAGTCTGCTGTGACATTATGATTTTGACCTAAAAGTGAAATAGGTACAGGCTCTGAACTCACTGTGCAGAGAATGGATGAATATTGCAAGATCTTTGGCGACGCTTCAGTAGCAAAATTTACGCCTTGATTGAAATTCTTGCATTTAATATATTTGTCAGTCTTCGGCCAACTATTTAAAAAAAGTAAGGTTTCCGATATGTAGGATGGATCAGGATGCAGTGAAGCTTGTCCGGAAATCAGTTGCAATGAGTTCCCGCAAAAAAAAAAATGTAAACATCAAGCTTACAATTACATACCGTCAACCGGGGTAATTTGGGACGATTTTGAGCGTTTTTTGTTAATAACTTCTTACGATGAAACATTTCATAAACAAGTTTAGGCTCATTTTATAGCTCTTTGCGAGGGCTATCGAATGGCATTGTCAAAAAAATTCCATATGCTATTCCTAAGGTGCCAGAAGCAAAAAAATAGTGTCCCGAATTGCCCCGTCGAACGGGGCAATTCGGGACACTGGCAATAAAACTTCATTTTAAAACACTTGAAGCATGCAGAGCGTACTCATCTATTACTAACAGTACTCTGAAGTCCTCCTCTTTCATTGTAGATGATGTAGAGGTAGAATAAATGACATTTTCTGTGATTTTTACTTGTTTTTCCTTTATTGATATGATATTGCCATATACATTAATTACCGTATTAGTGATGTGACATTATCTTATTATTGATGTGATATTACCGTATCCATGAACATGCCATTGAGCATTTACAACAACCTTGTCCATTGCAAGCTTCATATCAGCAGCCTTATAACATTTTTTTCGTATCTGTAAGCTTACAGGAAGGCTCATAATTTCACATCATTTTAATTGGGACTTCCCGTAATCATTAACTTCGCATGGTCATTAACTTCACGTGATCATTAACTTCCCGTGGTCATTAACTTCACGTGATCATTAACTTCACGTGATCATTAACTTCGCGTGGTCATTAACTTTGCGTGATCATTAACTTCACGTGATCATTAACTTCCCGTGATCATTAACGTCTCGTGATCATTAACTTCGCGTGATCATTAACGTCGCGTGATCATTAACTTCCCGTGATCATTAACTTCGCGTGATCATTAACTTCCCGTGATCATTAACTTCACGTGACCATTAACTTAGCATGATCATTACCTTCACGTGATCATTAACTTCGCGTGATCATTAACGTCGTGTGATCATTAACTTCCCGTGATCATTAACTTCGCATGATCATTAACTTCACGTGATCATTAACTTTGCGTGATCATTAACTTCACATGGTATTTAACTTCGCGTGATCATTAACTTCGCGTGATCATTAACTTCCTGAAAGGAATGTTTTAGTGACAACCAGCCTATCTTTTGGAGAGATAAATCATAGTTTAGGTCAATTACTTTTCATTCTATGATGCCTGGTGCACAATTCTATACATGACATGCTATGCACAATTTTGTGATGACCGATGATGCACTAATTTTTCGATAAGTGAAATTTTTTTGCCAAACGAGGTAAATGTAATCAATATTCTTTGTTTTTAATCCATTTTTTTCTTAACTGGAGCCTATGCTAACTGAGGTTTTACTGTAAATGCGTTTTTGGGGGTGTCCCGAATAGCCCCGGGGGGGTGGCCCGAATAGCCCCACCGCGCGGAAATGGCTGCCATTTTTTTTTTGAATGAGATAGGCAAAATCTGTCAATTACGTTTTCAAGACGACACATGGGTGCAACTTTTATGTAAGTAAAATTTTTTAATACAGCGAATATTTTTTTTGCTCCAGACCTTAGCAGAAGTAACCTTTCAAAATAGCGCTTTTCACCATTTTTTTCAGGAATTTTTGAAAGCTAGTAAATGTCGTATTTTTCGACTCCCTTTATACTACATAGATAGGAAAAATGTTGACATTTACGCCACTATTTTTAGTTTTGCAATATTCCAATTAGTTTTGCTACTATAACAGTTTTACGCCGTGTCGGAGGACTGTCCCGAATTACCCCGCCAGTCCCGAGTTACCCCGGTTGACGGTAGTTGCGGTCACATTAGAGCAGTCAGACTTCATTATCACATGTTCAGTTGACACTTGCTGTACAATCGGACTGTTTTTAGGGTAAAATTAATTATTTGGGGTAACATGTGGATGCAACCTTGTAAATAAGTTCGTGGCTTGTAAATAGTTTTTAATTACTCAGCGTAAATGGCTTTTCATTAAAAATTACCTGGCGACGCATCTTAAAATTACCCGGCGACGCTTAGGCCTTAAAAACCTATATATTGGCGATGCTGC